CTTAGGGACTATTCTATGGTACGTACAATTGAACACGGTTGCAGAACAGGTCATCCTTTATCCGATTCCAACTCCACAATCTCTTATAACAATCTTATAACAATCTCTGATCAGCTTCGATGTGGTGTCTCTATTTACCATGGTCCCGGTAGCAGACACCATGGCACTCATCAACAAGAGGTTCCCAGAAGACATCACAGCTCTGTTTCACCATTGCCTCACCACCAGCTACTTTCAGTGGGACAATGAGTTCTACGAACAGAAAGATGGAGTAGCTATGGGGAGCCCTCTCAGCCCAGTCATAGCTAATTTCTACATGGAACACTTTGAAGAGCTAGCCATTGAAACAGCCACCAAAAAGCCCCACTATATGGTTCAGATATGTGTATGACAGATATGTGTATGACAGATTTGAAGGACTAGATTTAGTAAACAGAGTCCCAGAAGAACTATGGACAGAAGTCCGAGACATTGTTCAGGAGGCGGCAACAAAGTACGTCCCAAAGAAAAAGAAAGCCAAGAAGGCAAAATGGTTGTCTGCTGAGACACTGGAAGTAGCCCAAGAAAGGAGGAAAGCAAAAGGAAACAGGGATAAGGGGAGATATGCCCAGTTAAATGCGCAATTCCAGAGGTTAGCCAGAAGAGATAAGGAACTATTTTTAAATAAGCAATGCATGGAAGTGGAAGAAGACAACAGAAAGGAAGGACAAGAGACCTCTTCCAGAAAATTAGAAACATTGGAGGTAAATTTCAGGCAAAAATTGGTATGATAAGAAACAAAGATGGCAGGGACCTAACAGAAGCTGAAGAGATCAAGAGAAGGTGGCGAGACTATACAGAAGATCTGTATAGGAAGGATAATAATATTGAGGATAGTTTTGACGGTGTGGTGAATGAATTGGAACCAGACATCCTGCGGAGTGAGATTGAATGGGCCTTAAGAAGCATTGCTAACAACAAGGCAGCAGGAGATGACGGGATCCCAGCTGAACTGTTTAAAATCTTAAAAGATGATGCTGTCAAGGTGATGCATGCCATTTGCCAGCAAATATGGAAAACACAAGAATGGCCCATCAGACTGGAAAAAATCAACTTATATCCCCATACCAAAAAAGGGAAATGCGAAAGACTGCTCAAACTTCCGTACAGTGGCCCTTATTTCTCATGCCAGTAAGGTAATGCTCAAGATCCTGCAAGGAAGACTCCAGCAATACATGGAGCGAGAGTTGCCAGATGTTCAAGCTGGGTTTAGAAAAGGTAGAGGAACGAGAGACCAAATTGCCAATATCCGCTGGATAATGGAGAAAGGCAGGGAGTTTCAGAAAAACATCTACTTCTGCTTCATTGACTATTCTAAAGCCTTTGACTGTGTGGATCATAATAAATTGTGGCAAGTTCTTGGTGGGATGGGCATCCCAAGCCACCTTGTCTCTCTCCTGAGGAATCTGTACAAGGACCAAGTAGCAACAGTAAGAACTGACCATGGAACAACAGACTGGTTCAAGATTGGGAAAGGCGTACGGCAAGGCTGCGTCCTCTCACCCAACCTTTTTAACTTGTATGCAGAACACATCATGCGATGTGCGGGGCTTGATGAATGCAAGGCTGGGGTGAAAATTGCTGGAAGAAACATTAACAACCTCAGATATGCAGATGACACCACTTGATGGCCGAAAGCGAGGAGGAGCTGAGGAGCCTTCTAATCAAGGTGAAAGAAGAAAGTGCAAAAGCTGGTTTGCAGTTAAACATAAAAAAACCAAGATTATGGCAACCAGACTGATTGACAACTTGGAAATAGAGGGAGAAAACGTGGAGGCAGTGACAGACTTTGTATTTCTAGGTGCAAAGATTACTGCAGATGCAGACTGTGGCCAGGAAATCAGAAGACGCTTACTTCTTGGGAGGAGAGCAATGTCCAGTCTCGATAAAATAGTGAAGAGTAGAGACATCACACTGGCAACGAAGATCTGCCTAGTCAAAGCCATGGTATTCCCTGTAGTAACCTACGGATGTGAAAGCTGGACCTTAGGGAAGGCTGAGCGAAGGAAGAGAGATGCTTTTGAGCTGTGGTGCTGGAGGAAAGTTCTGAGAGTGCCTTGGACTGCGAGAAGATCCAACCAGTCCATCCTCCAGGAAATAAAGCCCGACTGCTCACTGGAGGGAAGGATACTAGAGACAAAGTTGAAGTACTTTGGCCACATCATGAGGAGACAGCAAAGCCTAGAGAAGACAATGATGCTGGGGAAAGTGGAAGGAAAAGGAAGAGGGGCCGACCAAGGGCAAGATGGATGGATGGCATCCTTGAAGTGACTGGACTGACCTGAAGGAGCTGGGGGTGGTAACGGCCGACAGGGAGCTCTGGCGTGGGCTGGTCCATGAGGTCACGAAGAGTCGGAGACGACTGAACGAATGAACAACAACAACATGTGTATGACACTTTCACCATTTGGAGCCACGGAGAAGAACTCAACGGGTTCCTGGACCATCTTAACAGTATCCACCCAAACATCCAGTTCACCATGGAAAAAGAAAAGGAAGGAAGACTGCCTTTTCTAGATGTCCTAGTCATCCGCAAACCAGATCAACAATTGGGTCACACCGTTTACAGAAAACCCACACACACAGATAGATATCTACATAAAAACTCCAACCATCACCAAAGTCAAAAAAGAAGCACCATTAAAGCCTTGGCAGACCGTGCAAAAAGAATCTGCGAACCCCCCTCCTCCAAGATGAACTGAACCACCTCAACTGGGCTCTACAGGCCAATGGATACTCCACCTCAGACATCAGAATAGCTGCAAGACCAAGAACAAGCCACGAGAATAAAGATGAAGATCCTCCCAGAGAAAAAGTGTTCTTGCCATACATCAAGGGAACCACTGACCGCATAGGGAAGCTGATGAGGAAACACAACGTACAAACTATCTACAGACCCACCAAGAAAATCCAACAAATGCTACGTTCAGCAAAGGACAAGAGGGATGCTCTCGCTTCTGCAGGAGTCTACCGTGTAGACTCTGGACAAGTCTATGCAACTGTGGACAAGTCTAGATAGGGACCACCAAACATGAATCAAGGAACATGAAAGGCACTGCAGACTACTTCAACCAGAGAAATCAGCCATAGCAGAGCACCTGATGAACCAACCTGGACACAGCAATTTATTTGAGAACACAGAAATGCTGGACCACTCTCACAACCACCATGTCAGACTACACAGAGAAGCCATTGAAATACACAAGCATGTGTACAATTTCAACAGAAAGGAGGAAACCATGAAAATGAACAAAATCTGGCTACCAGTATTAAAAAAAAACTCTAAAATTGCAACAGCACAACAACAGAGAGGAAACAAACAAGGACATCTAATTACCTCTCAACAAAAGTTTGCCCCAGGCGCAGTCAGGCCATTGTATGCTAATCAAGGTGGTCAGTTGAAACATTCACACCTAGCTCTAGCAGAGAAGAGTCCTTTGTCTCACCCTGGTCATGCCACAGATATATAAATCCTTTTGCCTAGTTCCAACAGACCTCACTACCTCTGAGGATGCTTGCCAAAGTGCAGGCGAAACGTCAGGAGAGCATGCCTCTAGACCATGGCCATACAGCCCGAGAAAACCTACAACAACCCAATCTCTTATAACATTTCTCTCTTTACCCTGGCAGAAAATAAAGTCAGGGCGAGACTGATTGTGGATATCACCGCCAACTGTGCCAGGATGCTTTTACCTAGCCTGAGTGGGGTTGATTACCCTCAAGGGATTCTTATATGTAAATTTTAAACATGACTGATCTTAGCGCAGTTCTTAGCGCCCGTCGCACTTACGTCTCTGCACTTCATGATGTGTATTTTGCATACTGTTTTATCCTGCTTACATTCTGCTTTTAACTGTTGAATTTTACAGTGTTTTGTATAGATGCTTGTGAGCTATTGTTTCTGTCGGTGTAAATGCATATGACCATGGGTCGGAGCATTAATAAATTGATTGATTGATTGATTGATTTCCACTAGAAATGGTGCAAAAGCAAAAAAGGAGAATGTTGTGTGTTAGGTGAAGAGGCAATAACAAGATGTTCAAATGAGTTAGACTTAGTCAAATAGCATGAATCGGTTGCATGTACAGAAAATGTCACATTTATGTATTGCAATCAAACTCTACTACCCTGTGCTTTATACCCATTAAAATCAGTAGCAATTAAAACAGTCATTACCATCTTAATAAGCCATGATGTCATCTGGATCCAGCCCATTATCTTTCAAATATGACATAGTGTTTCAGCTGTAAGTTATATGAAGTTGTGGTAAGCTTTGGCCAGTATGCGAGAGTAAAAAAAAATAGAAATCACAGTTGGAGCATTTATGTTTTCAGACAAGTTCATTCATGAATTTTTGACTGCATCTTATAATGCCTAAAAGAGCAAGCCATCTCTGTCATAAAAGGAAACATTTATAACAGTTGCAAACCTTGGCCTAACTCTGAATCCAATTGTTATCCTCAACTTCTAAAAGGGATATGCTAAGCTAACATTTAAGTGAGTTCAACTGGTCTATTGAAGTTGGGCCAAACACTAGATTTTGGCTACAAGAGATTTTCAAATTATTCCTCCAAATAGAGGACCTAGAACTGGGATAGTCATATTCTAACTTGAAAAAACAGTGGAGTGATCAAATCGTCATTATTCATTTTACAAATCACAGAAGACAGATAAACACATTTGATTTTGTAGAAAACCACTGAGAGCTCCTAGTGGAAAATTATAGGAAAAGCAGCTGTTTCTTGATGTCATTCAGAGTTTGAGGAGACCTATGTCACACATTTTTTTGATAAAAATAAGTCAAAGCAATTATTGCTCACCATGATTCTCACGGAGCAGGTCAGACACATGGCATAAAAACAGCAATACAGCAATACACAAATCATTTGTAGGTTTTCATATCAAATATAGTATCTGAATACAAATCTACTTGAAGGAAATGTAAAAGAATTGGCAAGAAATAAACAAAATAAGATTTTATTATGCATTATTAGTGGAAATTGTTAAATACAAAACATAGAATATATTAATATTGGCATCTGTGGTGAAGCATAACCTGATTAGTATTTATCATTTTGTTCATCATCAAGTATTAAGTTACAGGAAAAAAGTTAAAACAATGAATTCTTAAGGTATTAATTTAATTTTGTTTTAAAATCTTTATAAATATAAGGCTTGATCAAGAAAAACGGGAACACAGTGTCTACACAAGAGGAGGGCAACCATTCACATTCAATTCAACTTTTTTGCCTTGCTCCCTTCACCAACTTTAGCACAATGCAGTTTTTCAAGAAAGGGTGAGTCAATGTGCATCGCCTCTGTCCTTATTCCTGATTTAGTCCTTGATTACTTTATAAAACAGAACTGGATGGAGCATAAATGAACCTCCAACATTCTTCGTAATGGCTTTACAAGTTTGTTGTTCACATAGCTACATATCTGCTGGGAGAGAGTGGCTATGAATAAGAAAACAAATCTCCAATGAGCTCCATGGGACTCCCTGTCTTGTCCACCAGCCCAAACTCCACAAAGCAAATAAGTAATTCTCTACATTTATAAGAAAAGGGATTTTGGCAATGCAGTAAGGCCATTTAAAATGTATTTTAGTTCATGGTAACATAATTAGCAGGAAAAATGCCAGTCCTGCCATGTAAACATCCTTCCCACCAATCAAACTGGGAATCGGTTTTCGTTGTGACCTTGATTTTGTCTCCAGCTTTGAAAGTCAAATCGCCTGGCTGCTGCCCTTCATATGGATATATTGCTGTCACAACTGTAGGGTTGGTCCTGGGATTGCCTAAAAACAAAAGACAATTTCAATTCAAAACTTGTTACTCCTTGCTGTGAATTGTACTTACATGCCTATGTAGGGATTGGAAGGACCTGAATTTATTTCTTTTTTGGGTTCTTAGCTAGAGGTCAACATCTCAAAATGGTCTGTTTAATCTCCCAATATTCTAATATAAACTTGCATTAAAAATATACAGAAAAGGAAAGAGAGGCACAGTCCAGACTACATGGTAAATCAACAGGTTTTTTTTTTCAATTTGAAGGGGGCTCATTTTGTTTAATTTTATCTCAAAAGCAGTTGCAGATCAGGGTCTGTTTCTTTCCTGCTTTGTTGGTGGGTTAGCCTTTGTGAAGAACTGAACACTTGGCACTTAACATAAGACAGGAATGGTCTTCTGTTGTTGAGCAATGTTTCAGTATCAAAACATTCACCATGAATAAATTTGTAAACATACTTTCTATGCATCAGAAAAGGTAAACTTGGCACTCTCATGGAATCTACTGAAAACCTGCAGACAACTTTAGTTTGTTTAAGGATTGTGCAATACACGAGTAAATAAACTGTTATGTAAGTTGTGCTGCTTCAACAATCTTTCTTTGAATTTCCAAATCATCACCTAAGCAATATTCATCTCACACAAGATGGTGCTACAGTGCTACATTCAACAAAACATTTATCTATGCTATTGAGCCTTGTTGATCTGTTAATACGAAACTCACAGAATGCACTGTGATTTTAATTATAAAGCTGCTGTTTTTGTTACACTGTGTCTGCTGAGAATGGGGAAGAGGTTCACTACCAAGGCCACTCACATCATATATATTAAAAGGTTTTCAACACATCTAGTTTTATAGAGGAAACTACTCAATTTATTGCCTCAGAAATGGCCAACCTTTCAACACCTGGACTCCTGTAGCTTTGTTTTATAGAAGAGGAAATTCCAACAGGTTCAGGTTGTAATGCAAGGCAGCTGAGGATGCTTGAGAAAGTTAACATGTGATAATTGTTGTTGCACTGGATGCTCTTAAGGGCAATGTTCGAAGAAAAGAATTCATCTGTGGCTAGGAGCAATCCTACTTGATTAAAACTTCCAAAGGCCAGCTGAGGTGACACTAGAGCAGCTAAAGATATGCTGAATCAAAACCTCTCCCAGTTGAGGGTGGTGAAGCTATATAGGATTGTCATTATCCTAGCCAAATTTTTATAGGTACAACAGTGCCATATTGGGCTGGACTGGACAGGTTTGGATCTAGCTTAACTCAATCCTTCCCTCTAAACATCCTTTTTCTATCCCCCTTTTGAGGAGGCTCATCTGATGGTAAATCTTTATTAGCAGAAAAAAATACCTGCTCGGTTAGCAGAAGAGGATTCTTCCTAATGCTAAATAGTTCAGGCTTACTCTTAACAGCTTGCATATCATCACTTAAGGATTATCCCGTAAATCAATTTATTTATTTATTTCATATCAAAAACATTGCATAAATTAGTATAAAGCTGATAAAAATAGAAGGAGCACAAGCAGCTAAATATCTTTTGATCAAAAAAGGGGAACAGCGACTGCATTGTCTGTAGCCTCAAACAATTCTTCCTCTGTACATGAGGCAGGACATTGTGGACAAGCAGACAGATATGGAGTTGTCTGTTCTGCTCCAGAGTCACACAAGGTGGAAGATTGTTTTAGGTAGTGCCATTTTGCAGTTTGTCTTTTGATCTGCCCATTCCACTTCTGAGTCTGTTCAGAGACTTTCAAGTAGCCCATTCTTGGTTTGTCCCTGGAGAAAGACCCTTGTGCATAATCACTGCTTAAAGATTACCCTGTAAATCTATTGATTTTAGTAGTTCAAGATACAGTCTAAATCCAAACTAGTTTGGTACAATGAAGGCAAAAGGTGATAACCAATAGCATTTTTCCCCAAAGCAGAACCTTATTTATAGGATGCAGCACATTTACTTCTGTTCATCCAAAAAGCTCATGGCAACATATATTTTTGTTTACTCTTCTTTCTTCTTGACAACATTGATAGGTTAAGCTACAATTGTTCTATGATCACGTGGTAAATTGTTGTTTCAGTGAAGACTTCAACCAGGGTCTTCTCAGTCTTAGGCCGGCATCCTGACCACTACAGCACTCGCCATACATAATGTATTCCCCATGGATACAAGGGACTTTGCACTAGCATTGCAGTGCTTCTTCAAATCCATATCTGATCATCCAAAGTAAGTACCTGCAATTCAATAAGGACTCTCTTTTTTCCTCCTTTATATCACCGAAACAGCATCTGCATGCCTGCCATTCTCACTGCTTTCCTGTGGAGTTTTAAACTGTTCTTAAGGCAAGGCTGCACATGCAATGGAGATGTACTGTTGCACAGATCAAGTAAGCTAAACTCCCCTAAGCACTCTGAAATGGAAACCTCAATGTATTAGAAATCTATAATGTTACATATCCGTTAGTTTTACACAGAAGATTTGCCGATATTTTTTGCTGTCTCTTCTGCACAATCAACCAGATTCATGCCAAAATATAATGTATGTGCAATGTTCTCCCAAGGAGAAAAACACACCAAATCAAGTCCAGGAGCTTCTATTTACCACTATGAATTTCAGTACTGCAGAACAGATTCTGCAAACCAGATGTTGATCAAACCCACTACAATTCAGCAGTGACCTATAGTAAACCCATAATGTTGACAAAGCTGAAGAATACATTTCTTTCCCTCGCACGTTCACAGAACAGATGTTGGGATAGAATTAGATGGCCGACGAGAATGACCCAATGTCTCCATGGCTATTAATCCAATTCATATACAAAAGTATCATTTTTATGTTTGCTGTCTGCACTGGGAAAGACATATAGCTTCTGCCATAACTGATCTGTCATAAGCTCCAATCATGCATCTCCTGTGATAGGATGGGGCGGCCGGAGGGGGGGGGGGCACAATGTTTAGAGCACCTTGCAAAGAGTGCTTGTTCTGCAACAGGACAAAACAAACTGAATCTATCCCAGAGGTCAGGTTTATGCTTGAACGGTTAACCAAAACCAAATACATGGAAAAGAAATAATACTGTAGTGGGATTCCTAATTTAATTTCCTAGCTTCAAAATTGCTTTCTTCAAAATGATGAGACAACACATTAAATTTTGAGGGAGATATGTGTAGATAGATAGATAGATAGATAGATAGATAGATAGATAGATAGATAGATAGATAGATAGATAGATTTTCCAAAACAGGGCATTCTTTGTAAACAAAATAAGATGTGAATTAAATATGAATCCCTGTTCAGTTATGGGGTGACCTTGAGCAAATCATACTCTCTCAGCTTGAGAGGAAGGAAATGGCAAGCTCCCTCTGAACAAATATTTCTGAGAAAATGCCATGATGGGTTTGCCTTGGTGTTTTGTAAGTTGGAAACTGAGTTCAAGGTACACAATAACAACAAAAATTAATAACAACAGTACACCACTTATACTAAAGTGATGCAACTGTTACTCTCCTCAGCCTTAGAAGTCTACAGTTCCCATCATTCCTAGGGAGCATAGCAAATGATGAGGGATTATGAGAGGTGCCTTCTAAAACATCTAGAGGGGCACTCCTGGTTTAGCTAATACACCTCTTTCTCTTGAAGAAAAACAGTTTCATTATATACTTGTGGAACTATGTATGATTCTAGGTTTTTGGCACAGTGGTAATAGGACTCTGCGCCATTTCTAGAAAAGCTTTCTAAGTCCTAAAGTTTGTCACTTGTCATTGACTCTGAAACCAACTCAGTTGATCTATACTGGTCTTGCAGTTTTCACTTATGCAGATAAAGCACTCTATGACTTCATGGGCTTTTATGAGTTCTTTGTGTTTATACCTTGTCTCAAGTCTTAGTGCAGGATGAAGGAAGAGTTGCTTTAATTACAGCTGAAAACCACCATTGTACACTAAATATTTGTTTCATCTTGAGAAACAGCGCATTTGCCAAGTTAAGGATATGAAAAAGTACAGGTTCTTAGTGTCTGCCAATTACTCAATACATTTTACAAAATGGCATTGACCCAAAACACACATAAAACAAAGACCTCAATTTTCTAGTCCTAGCGTGTACTGACCTCAATCTCGGTGTGCCTTTGTAACAGCTGGCTCAGCAATGGCATGGATTTTCAAGGCATCCTCCCCGCCCCCAACATCCACATGTTGCATTTTTGCTCATTTCGTGATAATACAACCCAAGAACGATGGTAAAAATAAAATGCTAGTAGAAATGCCAGCAATCACATTATCCCAGTAGAAAAAAACATAGTGTTAGAAATTATTTCCTGGGATTTTCTTTCTGCTTTATGACCAGTATTAAGATAGTTTATATTAGTCACATCAGAGAGAAAGAAGCTACTAGATGAATGTTTATTTATTTGAAAATAAACTACAAGCTGTACAAAAGAAACAGAAATATAAAAAAGGCTTTGCTGACATACACCCTGTTAAAAGGGAAAAAGGAGTCCCTGTTTAATATTTACTACTAAAGATGCATATGTCACCATGGCTTATAAACAGATTCACACACATTATCCTTCTGCTTAAGGATCTTTTGATACAAATATCCATTAGTCACTTTGATCTGCCTTGCTGTTTTTTAACAGTTTATACTCTGCTGGAGATGGCCCTCTAGGAATTATTACAAACACACCGCAACTGAGCTTTTGAGCTTGAGTTCTTCCTGTCATGAAAGACATGACTGAACTGACACAGATTTCTCTTGCTTAGGAAAAAGAAAATGCCATACGCATTGAACTAACAAGCAGCCATTATGGATACAGCTGTTTATATGCATGTCCAAAATTGTTTCCATTACCGCAGGAACCTTATCTATACTATAGAAGACATTGATCTCAGATATCCAATATTCATTTCATTACTAAACAGTAGAGATGGAAAGAATAATGGGTTTCCTGACAGGAAATCTGTATTGAGAAGGAGAGAGAAACGGCAAGATTTTTCTTTTGAATTTTGCAGATAATACCTGAAGTATTGAGCTTTCCAGACATGTAAGTAGTTTTTGTATTTGTGTTACTAGCCATCCCCTGCCACGTGTTACTGTGGCCCACATGGGGGTTCTGTGTAGGAGGTTTGGCCCAGTTCTATCATTGGTGGGGTTCAGAATGCTCTGTGATTGTAGGTGAACTATAAATACCAGAAACTACAACTCCCAAATGTCAAGATTCTAATTCCCCCAAACTCCACCAGTGTTCACATTTGGGCATATTGTGTATTCGTGTAGAATTTGGTCCAGATCCATCATTGTTTGAGTCCACAGTGCTCTCTGGATGTAGGTGAATTACAACAACAAAAGCAAAGGACACAGCCCACCAAACCTTTCCAATATTTTCTGTTGGTTATGGGAGAACTGTGTGCCAAGTTTGGTTCAATTCCATCGTTGGTGGGGTTCAGAATGCTCTTTGATTGTAGGTGAACTATGAATCCCAGCAAGTACAACTCCCAAATGACAAAATCAATTTTTTTGAGTGAAGGACATACATTGGGTTGTTAGGTGTCTTGTGTCCAAATTTGGTGTCAATTCGTCCAGTGGTTTTTGAGTTCTGTTAATCCCATAAACGAACATTACATTTTTATTTATATAGATATGTCTGCATGCTGTGTCCTTTTTCCTAATGAGCCAGTACGGCTTGAGTATTAGACTATGCCTGTGGAGGCCAGGATTCAAATTCCTGTTTGGCCATAGGAATCTACTTGGCATCCTTAAGCAAGTGGTATTCCTTCAGCCTCAGGGGCAAACCTTCTCTGAACAAATATTGCCAAGAAAACCCTGTGATATGTTCTCCTTAGTCATAAGACAAAATAACTTGAAGAATACAGTTCTATCTCATTTAGGTTGAAATTCACTTTCAATCAAGCTACTACTGTTTACTTTAACTATCAGATTTGAATTTCCACATGTCAAGAAGGATAAGATAAGATAAACTTGGCCCAACTATGGAAATCACAAGAAATACCTTCTACTGAAAAATGCATTTTGAAAGCAATGGGCATTATGAATATAGCTTTGTTATGAATATAGCTCACCCAGAATAACCTACAAGTACAAAGAACAGATTGGGTTAAATGTTGGGCATTTTTAAAAAAGGAAAATACAGAAATCTCTATAAAAATGACGTAAAAGAAATTCAAAGGATTGAAGCAACAAGAACCTCCGACGCCATGAGGTCAAAAAATAGATCAGCATAACAAAAGGATCCACAGTCCGGAATGACCTGGAAGTAAAACTTTTTTTTCCTCTCTCTCCCTTCTCTTTTTATTTCCCACTTTCTTTTAATAATATTGTTCCCCCATTTTTTATGTAAAGTAAATGATCTCTCTCTTTTCTTGAATCTTTTTATTCTTAATAAAAAATAAATTTTAAAAAAGAAGAAGGATAAGTTAGACAAAAAACTTGAGTTCATCAATTTTTATTATCCCCAGAGGCTAGATCAGAACAAAGTTAAGAGACTATGGGCACAATATACGAGTATATTGTCTTATACAGGAGGGATCGTGAAACCATTTTGTTTATGGAGTCCAGCAATTGAGTCAATATTTTAAAGAAGTCTTAATTTCTGTGGACAAGGTGCAACATGCATTTTCCTCAAGCTTTTTTGCTATCCTCTACCCCTGCAGCCTGCAGACCATGCTTTTCTGTGCACCTCCCACCTGTTCAACATTACTAAATACCTGTTCGTTTGTTTTTTGGCTTTTTTTAAAAAAAAAACAGAAGTAGATAGGGTTACTTTTGGTAGTTTGGTAAACTATCTGGCCCCTGGAGGGTAATTGGGACAGAATATTTGCCCATTACTGATTCAACTATCATGCTGTATCTGGTGGAATGGGATGAAGACTCACTTTGACTTTCAGAATATTTACAGACAAACTAAATGAGATTGCTGGGTTGCTGTGAGTTTTCTGGGCTGTATGGCCATGTTCCAGAAGCATTCTCTCCCGACGTTTCACCCACATCTGTGGCATCAGGAGGGAATGGTTCTGGAATATGGTCATACAGCCTGGAAAACTGCTGACCGAAAGGTTGGTGGTTCGAATCTGGGGAGTGGGGTGAGCTCCCATCTTTCAGCTCCAGCTTCCCATCTGGGGACATAAGAGAAGCCTCCCAAAGAATGGTAAAAACATTTTGGGCATCCCCTGGGCAACATCCTTGCAAACGGTCAATTCTCTCACACCAGAAGCAACTTGCAGTTTCTCAAGTTGCTCCTGTACAACACACACAAAGCCCAGAAAATTCACAGCAACCCAGTGATTCTGGCCATGAAAGCCTTTTACAACACATTAAATGAGATTAGATGTGCATTCAGATCCTTAAAAGTAGCTGTGATGCCCTTCTAAACTGAATCCAAATATCCTCCTAAAAAGAACAGTATCCCTTACATTATGTGTGGCTTGATCTGTGTAATAACAAAACTAAGTCAAAAGACTTATTTTTTGGAACACTAGCCCAGATAGAGAAATTAGTTTGCTAGAAAACTCCTAGCTTTGCTAGCCATGCAGTAACTATTTTTAATAACAATTTCAAACAGAATATAGTAGCCCAATACAGATGACTAATATCACAATCACATTTTACATTAATTTATGAATGTTCAAATATTGTAAATGCTCACCTATTGCAGTTGAGTAACTAGGAAGGTCAGGATAAAGTCTGTTTGGGGCTCTTGTATCTGTGGAAAATTCAGAACGTGTTATATAAATTATTATAGCTCATTTAATCTTATTTAGTAGTTTGATGTACTGAAGTTAGAGCTGTTATTCTACATCTATCATAAAAATAAAGTGTAGAGACTAAATAAATATAAAAATGGCTAAAGAATAAAAAAAAAATGTAGAAGGAGCCCCCGGTGGCGCAGTGGATTAAACCGCCGAGCTGCTAAACTCATTGACCGAACGGTCACAGGTTCGAATCCGGGGAGCAGTGTGAGCTTCCGCTGTCAGCCCCAGCTTCTGCCAACCTAGCAGTTTGAAAACATGCAAATGTGAGTAGATCAATCGGTACCGCTTTGGTGGGAAGGTAACAACACTCCATGCAGTCATGCTGGCCACATGACCTTGGAGGTGTCTATGGACAATGCTGGCTCTTCGGCTTAGAAATGGAGATGAGCACCACCCCCCAGAGTTGGACAAGACTGGACTTAATATCAGGGGAAAACCTTTACCTTTTTAGAAGATCTCAGTCTTAATAGGCTCATGCTCGGATTAAACAATGAGGCAAAATTTGGGACTGACTTACTCATAGGATGCCAAGAGATCATTTTTAATAGAAACTGGGCATCATTAGAAGATGGAAAGTTCATACAGTGCACTGATGCAATTACCCAGAGAACAACGTAATACACTTGCTAAGGTTTTAGGGACCTTCTTGGTCACATACATTGAAACGTATGTTAATAACTCAAAACTTTACCAATTATTGCATGAAAATAGAGCTGAACACACATAAATATAACACATTCTCTCTAAAACTAACCATATTTTATTCTGCTCTAAAATATAACATAGAAGAGGGCTGCTTGCAATATACTGTTTATAATAACTGCATGTTTTAAAATTGGTTCTAGGGCCTTTATAAGTCAGTTTATCAATTTAACTAAGTCAATATAATACCTTCTTGGGTAAAGTTTTCAGAACTCCTGCGTGTCTGTTGTCTTGAGGAATTGCCACTAACCTGGTGAGAAGGAATGGAAAGAATATCATTTTTAATTTGAGTATGTGAAATGTCTATGGTTTTGATGAATTTTAAAGATGGCATTCAAGAACTTTCAACTCTACTGACAAAAGCATATAAGCAGCTACACCATGTCCCACAATGCCATCAATTCAAAGGGAAGGGGTGAAAAATAATGGGCAAAATATGAACACAATACAAGGGGGGGAAAGCACATCTGCTATTGCTCCCATATTATAACAGAATTACTCAAACATTCCAAAGAACAAAAAAAAAGAGGTAATTTTTATTTTTATTTTATTCAAACAGTTTTAATTGTATTTATATGTTGCCAGGAAAGAAATTGCCAGAGGAAGTGAAGCAGGAGTAGCAGAAAATAGTGTCCACACAGAGCCAGCAGAGAAGCAAAATAAAACAGAAGGCAGTGGCTGAGGATGTCTCCAGGGAGTGAAAGGTTGATGCAGCAGAGTTACAAGGGAGAGAAAGAAATGGTCTTTTGACTATATGTATTTGGCTTAGGAGAGTGTTAAGTCTTCAGAAAGTTGTACCCAAGAGTTTTATACCCAATGAGATTCTAACCAGAGTGATCACTGATAGGGAAGAAATCAGGATATGATCATAATTACTAGTGGTTTGCCAAATAAATTAGCTGAGTGGAACAGATAGTCCCTTAAGTACAACCTGTTGGAATTCAATCCCACACTGCCCAAGTCTCAAGTCCTCAACAAGGAACAGTTAGTTTAGTATAGACTATGGGTTTCCCTACCCTCATGTCTCCTGTATGACAGTACTGTATCTATTTCTTCTCTTCTCTCTGTTTCTGCTCTCATTCTGATTGGTTGTGTAGAATGGATACTTTTCTACTGCAAGCCCTTTAAAATATGACTTCTTTTTCTTACATCTGGAGTATGTGCTGTGTGCTTTGAGATCTCTCTCTGTGTTCGTGTCAGAGAGATGTAGTTGTTTGTGCTTTTTCACTCTCTTTAAACCTTAGAAGAGATGGGTGTTAAGAGTAGCTCAGACCCAGTTATTTACTATTAAAAAAGGCAGTTGTTTATTATTGTAAATGAACCTTTTGATTATTGTAAATAAACCTTTGATTTTTAAGATTGGACTCTGCATCTTTGCCTGCCTAAGCTCTTAATTCTTTATAGCTACATCACACGGCACTTCACACTCTGCCCATTAATGAGCTGATGCTCAACTTTTAGTATCCTGATTATGTTTTTGGATGCTCTGCTATTTTAGGATTGTTTTTCCTAACACAACCTAATTTTAATATCCATTTTGCTAAAATATATTACAAGATATAACAAAAAATATCAGAATATATTTCATTCAGTGTGGAAATAGTTCACTTGGTCTTTATCACATATATACAACTCAATCGATTTAACATATTGTAAAGCATATAAAAGATTGCACCAGGAATGATTGGGGATAGTAGAAAATAAAAATTAACACAAGCAGGTTCATACGTAGAAGTCCAAAAGAATATATGGTGAGGAGAGCTGCTAAAAATAAAGTACTTCATGTATAGTGATAGTATAGCGGGGTCTTCCATGGAAGGTGGAACAGATCTTGATGATGGACTGGCAGTCCCCATTCCTTCCTCTAACTTAATTTGTGACATTTTATCATGAGGAAATTTTAATGATGTTTTCATTGTATGTGTTTTAATGTTAGCTGCTGCACCGGCTAATGATATAGGGTTACTCTGGAAGTGTTAGCTGAAGATGAGTGAAGAAATATTTCAATAAATAAGCGGCAAAGAATTACTGTTAAGTCACTACAGAAATGCCAGACAGACTAATAGGGTGACTTTAAGCATTCAGAATTTGAGAGAAGGTTAAAACTGTGTCCACATTAACATCTCTAGTAATTCATTTCATCACATAAAAAGATGGATAGGGTGTTTGCCAATACTTGCAGTCCAAAAAGAAACTTTGGTGGTAACCAACTACCTAGTTCAATAAGTATTTCCCCCCTATATGTACGTATGAATTGCCATAACATAGCATTCACGTTAGCCAACAGGTGGCAACGTGTTGTCCTTCACCCCAATATCTAAGGTTTTGATTTTTCTTAGCATATCTATCCAAGAATGGTAAAACGAGCTTGATTAAATCATTTACTCTGTGCAAAATTATAGGTGCTGCAGATCCAGGTGAATTCTCAAACTGCCTGCTAAAAATAAGCAAGGATGGGAGCTCAAGACTATTTTTATTCCACTGATACCTCTCATTTAAAGCTTTAATTTTCTCTCATGAGGCAACATCTCACATATGAATTGACACTGGAATGCCAGCAAATCCATACCAGCCTTCACTTGAACCGAAGTGGGGAAAGTGCTTGCTGCCATATGTGGATAAACTTCACAACATCTGTAGCTGTAAAGTTACAGGTGAATATTCAATCCTTAAGTCACAGCAGCATTGTCAGAATACAGGGTTAGTCAAAATGAATAGGCCAATAAGAAAATTAATTTTAGACGAATGTATGTTTACTGTAACCAAACCACAGCTACGTAGCGACAGATAAACTATCAAAGTTTTTTTTGAGCAACACACATGTACGTTAATGCCGCTAGGCGTCGCTAGGGGTCGCTGTTTTCAAAATGGCGGAATCAAGCAAAGAGAAGGCGTTTTGTGTGATGACATTTGCTAAAACAATGTCAGTAATTACGGTCCAGCGAGAATTTCAAGGGTTAGGGTTAGGGTTAGGGTTAGGGATAGGGTTAGGGTTAGGGTTAGGGTTAGGGATAGGGTTAGGGTTAGGGTTAAGGTTAGGGATAGGGTTAGGGTTAGGACCTCAACGAACACCTTCCCAGACGTTGCTGCATTCGATGCCATTACGTCGGATGTGCTGCAACGGATGTGGAATGAACTGGACTATCGCTTGGACATCTGCCGTGTCACACGGGGCGCCCATATCGAACATCTCTGAAGGTGAGACAAAACTTTGATAGTTTATCTGTCGCTACGTAGCTGTAGTTTGGTTACAATAAACATACATTCGTCTAAAATTAATTTTCTTATTGGCCTATTCATTTTGACTAACCCTGTATTTCTTGACACTGATCCACAAAATAGTAGAGGGTATTGGCATAACAAGAAACAACCTATTGTGACTAAACAAACAGATTAAACTAATAGGAAGAAAGATTGACCAAACCCTTTTTGGTTCTCTTGGTACAGGTGTCCACACATAGTTCCTCCCCTCCTGGGTTTCATACTGCAGTGTAAAAGATTCAAGGATATCATAAAGATCCTGTGCTTGAAAAGGCGGAGGCATATCGCCAAACAGAATGGCACTGGCACGGATATCCCGACCATAGAATCTGGAAAAATAGTATTTCATTATAGTTAGTGAATGGGATACATGGAAATCAGAGAGCACTTACTTCTGTTCATCATTCAATTCCTAAACTTTGCATTCATCTGCCTTCCTTTGAGGTTTGGTTATCCAAAAATTTATGTGAATGCATGTATTAAAAGCTTTCTTTATAGTGCAACTAGGTTGTGAAACAAAATGTTCCAGCATGCTGGGCTTCTGTTTCCTTTTCCAAACAATCAGCCATATCTGAGTTTCTTGTAGACCACTTAACCTCTCCTTTTTATTGGCTTTCAATTGATTTCTCTAAGAATCTGCCAGCATTCTGTATTGTTCTCAATCTTCACCGAGCTGTACCTGGTAGATTTCTTCTTATTTTAAAAACATTTTGGAAAAACTTAGGATTCCCCATGTCTGCTGATGCCTCCCTTGGGGCATGTATGGTACTTATTACATAAAGATAGATACTATGGTGCTGAAGTATAAATGATAATTGGGAAAATCATCATTTGTGCACTTAAACTATCTGTCCTTCTTTCTCTCTTTCCTTCCTTCTTCCCTCCCTCCTTCCCTTCCACCTTTTCATCCTTCTTTCCTCCCCTCTTTCCTCCCTGCTTCCCCCTCTCTCTTTCTCCTTCCTTCCCTTTTGCCTTTCCGAATATAAGTCGAGGCACCTAATTTTACCACAAAAACTGGGAAAACGTATTGATTTGAGTATAAGCTGAGGGTGGGAAATGCAGCAGCTACTGGTAAATTTCAAAATAAAAATAGAAACCCATAAAATTACATTAATTCAGGCATTAGTAAGTTAAATGTTTTTGAATATTTACATAAAACTGTAATTTAAGATAAGACTGTCCAACTCTGATTAAACCATCATTTTAATCTTCTTCAATGTTAATGTGCTTATGTATCTTTCCAATAATAATAGAGTAAAATAATAAATGTAATAATAAAAATAAGAAAGTAATATAATAAATATAATAACAACAATAATAAAGAGAAAACAATAAATGTAATAATAGAGTAAAATAAGAAATGCAATAATAAAAATAAGAAAGTAAAATAACAAATATAATAACAATAATAAAGAGAAAACAATAAATGTAATAATAATAATAGAGTAAAATAAGAAATGTAATAATAATAATAACGATAACAGAGTAACATAATAAATAACCTTGACTCGAGTATAAGCCGAGGGATTTTTTTCCCGCCTAAAAAAAGGGCTGAAAAACTCACCATATATTTGAGTATATACACTATATTTCTTCCTAATGGAACACAAAACTTTCAAGCAGTCATAATCAGAAGCTCAGGTGAAACCCAGACTGATTCATGTGTTTATTTAGCATTTAAAGACTATATAATCTACTCTCTCTGATGAACCCATGCTATATTTTGAATACTGGCACTTCTTCTGTGTACACTTGAATCTCAAGCGATGACATTTTTTTGTACTGTAAAACTTTATTGTACTAATGCAGAGTCCTTTTTGTGTGCCTTCAGGGAATACAGAGATCTCCCAAGTTAAAAAAGAGAATTTTCACATTTATAGAAGTGTCAAGAATGGCTTAAGAATTTAACCAGCATTACAGTAAGCAGTGAAGCATGATCATAAAAGGCTGATTCATACAGCCTTATCATGGGATAATTCTTTGAAAAAGAACAGTGGTAGCATAAGAAGGATGGGCAGTCACAAGGAGAGGGTCTAGGCCTCATTTTGGGTCTCTCCAGATTCTTGTAAGCTCTACCAAGTCATTTTCACCAAATCAGAAGTGTTGTCTTGATTATTTTCAATGTCTTTCTTTCTACTTTTGCTCCCTTTCTTTGCTGTTTTGTGATGCTTTCAGGTGCAGTGGAAACTACTTAATACATGGACATTTATGCCTCCCAGTCCTCTAGAGGTAATTTTCCATTCTAAATCTTTGGAATGATTTGAGGACTGTACAGAATTTCCACCCCTGTTTTAAAGCATGTAAAAGGATTAATTAGTCCTCAACTCAAATAGGTTGACCAGGAACAACTTTTACCACTTGCTGACTATATAGCATGCCCCCTTCACTTTCCTTTATCATGACTCAATGAGAAAAACTCAGTGAGTGCTGGATGTGTGACTAGCCCCCTTTCCCCAAAGGCAGAAGTGAGTGGCTGATGGCAAAACTGATGGTTTTCAGAGTAATTTGGATTTCTGAATAAGGGAGACAACCAGTATTCAGAAGCAATACATTTGTGTAACATATTTCCTCTATAATATGCCAAGAAAATGCAAAATTTTAAAGACAGACACTGAAAATACAAAAAAATGTCCAACTACTTCTCAGTCTATCTGATGTGTGTAGCCGCCAATTCTTTTGTCCAGTGTGCCAGGGATTGAAATTAAATTTGAGTGAAATAGCTACAATTGTGACTTTCCTGTAAACTCTCCAGGAACTGGCAACCAAGGGCTCAGGGACCACGGCCAGTCTAGGGACAATCACTTTAAGCAGCACTAATTTCCAGTAATCTCACTACTACAACAATTAATTTTGAATGGAGTAGTCAGATTTGTTCAGCAACTTACTTGCTATTTGTTTCCTTTCTCTCAATTAGACAACTTCCTTCTAAAGAGACCCCTGCAAATAGCCCTCGAGATTTGCAGTAGGTATAGACAGCTGCAGAGCTTCTCAAGGCTACATCACCTTCAAGATTTCTAAGAGAAGAAAGACTTCAAGATTAGCGATCAACATTATTAGCTGATAATTCTTTCCTTGTTTCATTAATATATAAAAGTTACTCCAAGTGCAACAAATTCCAAAATGTAGTGATTACATATATCCACAGTATTTTGTTAAAAAGAGACTATTCAGAATATCCAGATTTGTGCATAAAATAGTTCTTTACTTCTTTATCAAAACAGAAGTTCAATCTGTTCTGTCCAGGCATTCTATCACATCAAAAATACCTTAAAATAGTATGTACACAAATAGGTTTACTAACATCTTCATGGATTTTTATAATTCACAATAAACTGTATTAAGAAATATTCCCTATCTTTGGCTGACAATCTGAGTAATTTACCTGGAAAGGCTTGAAGAAAAACTAGAACTGCTATCTCGCAAACACTATCTTTTGTAGTCTGACTGAATGATAGCCAATGTGTTCCATGTTTTCACTGGATCTAGCCTAAATAATCAGTTAAGTAAAGATTGTGAACATAACAGAATAACTTCCAAGAAAAAAACGTGATTTTTACAAATACTTTAATATTAAAACAAATCAGTATAGCTGGCAGTTGCCTTATACTATACCTGCTTTTTTAAGATAAACCTTTTTTCTGGCATGATTTCTGTGGGTAAGTACTTTGACACAGAAAAGGCCTTCAAAGCTTTCAGTGGTAGAACGTCAACTGGTGTAAGTTTCAAAACAATTCTTTTCCATGTTTTGCCTGAGTTCAGCTCTCACAGCGGAGCCCCCGGTGGCGCAATGGGTTAAACCCTTGTGCCGGCAGGACTGCTGACTAACAGGTCAGTGGTTCGAATCTGGAGAGAGTGGGTTGCGCTTCCTCTGTCAGCTCTAGCTCCCCATGTGGGGACATGAAAGAAGCCTACCACAATGATGGTAAAACAACAAACATCCGGGCGTCTCCTGAGCAACCTCCTTGCAGACGGCCAATTCTCTCACACCAGAAGAGACTTGCAGTTTCTCAAGTCACTCCTGACATGAAAAAAGCTCTTACAGCAAGAACAATCCTGATTTCAGTTTACTACAAAGATCTACACTAACAAATAAGTATGGTAACAGCTTATACTAATCCAATGACACTCACCTCCCCAAAGGTCCAATGGCCACTGTAAAGTTTCCTCCCAGAGTAAGATTTCCACCTTTTGCAAAAGCTTCAACTGCTCTTTCATGATTCAATATTACTACAAGGTCTGATACCTAGATGACAACAAATAATTTTTAAAGGGAGGTAAAACATTTTAATGTAAAGATCACAGACAAATTATTTATAGATGGAATGAGTAACTTTCCCAGTGAGCACAGTCCTGCAGAACTTTCATTGAACATACTCAGATATGTCTTTGTATAAACTGGAGTAGTTGAAGCAATTGCTTAAATAATAAAGAACACAACCAAACAATTTATTCAATGGCCAAAAATTTACCCCATACCCTTTACAATTATTTATTAGAACAAAATGATCAATTCCTGCTTGCGGGCTTGATGAATAATTTCTGTCCCTCCAGATACTGTTGGGCTTCACACCACATTATTATAGTTGTGTTGGCTAGGCAAGATGGACACTGTAATACAGTGTTCTCAACCTGTGGGTTCCCAGGTGTTTTGGCCTACAACTCCCGGAAATCCCAGCTAGTTTACCAGCTGCTAGAATTTCTGGGAGTTGAAGGCCAACACATCTGGGGACCCACAGATTGAGAACCACTGCTGTAATACAACACAAACTAGAGGATGACATATCTCTAGTATTTTATGATTTTTTCTTTCAATATGTATAGCACTGATTGGTTAGCTCTTGTGTCGTTCATAAAGTCATATCTTTTTAGTAGCAGACTTTCCAAAGAACTTTTTTAAAAAATAAAGGGCTAAGCCAACCCAACCAAAACAAAGAATCAAGAATATTGAGGTGGGTGCAAGAAGAAACGCAGAAGCCATCTGAAGGAGGAGTGAAACTGAAGAGGCAGTATGCAATAAATTCAGAGGCTGCAAGTGTGTGTGTTTTTATGAGCTCTCGTCTTTAGTTTAACTTGATCACTTAAAAGAGTGACACAAGTTAAATAGCTGCCATCTCAGAATAAGTGAAAATGTAAACAAGCCATAAATTAAGAAGTAGGATATGGATGTTCATGCTGAACATGTTCCACTGTTAACTATGTCTACCTTGGCACAAATAGAACTCAAGTGCACAGTTGCTGAACAATTCCTCAGAAATGTTTGAGCAAAGAAAATCAATTTTGTAGTTGGATTTTGGGGTGGGGGTGGGTGGGGGGTAGAGAAAGAGATATCATGGTATAAGTGTTTTCTGAAACCACTGGAAGTCTTATTATGTTGACTGTTGGTTAGCAACGGGTAGGAAAAATCCATACATACAAGTACATATACATTTATGTGAAATGTAACTGATATAGAGGAAAGAGGAGAGGTAAGACCTAGCTTACACTTTATTAGTTGCTCTTTCAACCATGCGATAACTGTATTAATAAAAGCATAATTTGAGAAAATTATGAGGATCATGTCACTGGAGGCTCAAGCTACAATATTGATTTCCTTGGTTCTGGACTGAATGATATAGTGTTGATCTGCTGCACTGATGTTGCTGAAATAGGTGAAACCAGGGGAGGGGGAAATTGTACCTCCCCCCATAAACCTTTCCATATGATCTTAACCCCCCCCCCTCCCCTCCGGACAGGTTTTCAAGAGTTATAGAGAGCAGCCAAAAGGAAGCAGGGTGGGAACAGATTCCCATTGTGTTAAAGGATGTCTACATTCCCATTGTGCTAAAGGATGTCTTCGATTTCTGTACTGTGCTGGCATGGCTCTACAATTCAAACAAGGTAAGATTTTCTCTTTCAGCCTTCGTTGCCTAATGGGTACCTCCCATTCCTCTGAAAGAGGAGAATGTAATAAGGAAAATGTTAACAGCAACAGACAACACAGCAATTGTAGAAGAGAGTAGTTGTGGTGTCTCTATCATGTTTCTTAAGTTAACTTGTTTGGTATTGACCAATAAGGGAATGATAGATGTGTAACAAAGATGTGGTTTATATGCAGTCTTCTAGAATCATCTCAGGACGCTCAGCCATGCTGATTAAACTACCTTATGAGAAAGCATTATCTCACACCCTTCATCTATAAACTGTATGTTTGCTACTTGTGAGTAACACTCAAGGAAAGCCTTCCATTAGTACTTCACATAATATTTGCATAATTGTACAGCTTTGCTTGAGTCAATTTCTCGGGGGATCCACCAGACTAAACAGTTCTAACTGCATCATACGGGCTCTATTCATGAACAATATCTATCAAAAGTATTCGAGAACAGCAGATTTACAAGTTCTAATAAGATCCCCCATAGTAGAAACTGCATGGACTGCCCCTTACCAAACTCTCCAAATTTGAAGTAACTTTGTCCATCCATTTTCATGGCAATTAGTATAGCTACACACCATGGACTTCTGAAACAAAATTTTGTATATGACCACAACTTATATTGTATGTTGGACCATCCATACACTTCCAATTTGGTGCAAATTCATCTAACTGTGAAGGGGAGTGCACCACCAGAGCTTCCCAAAAAAGGATTTCACATACACGACACGGCCCAGCCCTTAAGGCAGACTGTCCCAAACATATGGTCTAAATTTCTCTGGGCAACATTCAGCTGCTTTCGCATGATATGATGACAAATGGGTAGATAGAAACATATTGGTATTTATATAGATATCCTAATTTAGTGATGCATGTTCACTATAGGAGCGTTCCAACTTGTTTACCCTACGGTGAAGAAACCAGAAGACCCAGGATCATTTCAAGAGCCTTCTTTATTCATTAACAACCGATACCAGCAATATAGCACAGCAGTAGACTAACCAGTTCTAACTGGATCATGGAGCTTTCTTTGTTCATGAACAACAAATACCAACTATATGACACGGTAGTGGACTAACCAGTGGAGCTGCTAAAGCAACTCAGGAATGTCATTCCAATATACATACTGCACTTTAATTTGGTATGTTGCTGCTGTTGTTGTGCTTTCAAGATATTTCTGTCTTACAATATACTAAAGAACCTATCATGTGGTATTCTTAAAAGTTTTCTTAGTCAGACTAACAGCTGGTAACTAGCCATTATAAACACCAGCCAAAGGACATGAGCAGAAGTTAGAATTTCTAGTAAATTACAATATCAAGAATACAAGTACAGAGCTTCTTAGAGGTCAGCCTGTTATTTCCAGAGTGGTATATTAAGCTATACCATTCTGGCATCGAATTTCTGCTTAATTTGTAACACTGCTCTGAGTCCCCTTCGAGGTAGAGAAAGGCAGGATATAATTGAAAATAATAATAACAATAATAATAATAATACAAATGCTAAAACAACAAGATATAAAGCTGAAACACATTTACATTTTATTTGATTTATAATATTTATTGTAATCACTGAATCAACTCTGCAAAGATTTGCATATGAGTAAGAACAACAGCTGTGGAGAAGGAAGTTACTGTATGATTGAATAACGTGCACAGGAAGCAGCAGGTATCATATTTATACTTTTAAAAAGTATTTTTAATATTTAAATATGCCTATTAATGAATTAGGTTTTCATCAGTCCACCAAAATATTCTTTTAATTAAGCAATTAAGAAAACACTGCGATCATACACACTTACCTCAATTCCAATTTCAAATCCACCACCCAGGCCAGCTATCCCTATTGCAGAAGGAGCCGACCAGTCTGGACACAGAAATGGAGATAATTAGTGACCATGGAGAATGATCATTTTATAACTAATAACAGGCATGTTGATCATTTCTATTGAACACGCATTTGGAAAAAATTCCATGCCATTCTGCAACCTAGAGATTCAGCCGCACACCTTTGTGGTGGTTTAGGCATGTATCTGACCCATGAAAGTGGGTGGGAAATGAAAAGACCTCCAGGAGCCTCTTAGGGAAACCAAGAGCCCCGGAGGTGAGATGGGGCACTGTCTTTGTGGTCCTCGAGGAGCTAACTGCCATAGTCCCTTGCCCTCTGTCTTTTTATCCACCTGCTCATTCAATCTACTGTACTCTCCTCACTTGCTCCTTGCCTTTCTCTGCTTGTTCACATGCCTATCTTTTTTATCCTATTGACAAGGGCACATGTGGGAATGTTGGGCATAGCAGAAGGAAGGAGCTCAGGAAGGAAGCCAGGATGAGCAGTGGGACTGTGCTGCTCTCCTCTGTCTTCTCTCACTTGCCCTCACTTGCTAGCCTGGCCATGGAGGCTGATGCCACGCCATTTCTTCACAGAGAGCCATTCTTCCACCCTCCATGGCCACCTCATTATTTCTTTCCTTGTGCATGAAAGTGGTGGCTCTAGGTGGAGGCAAATTCTATGAAATTGACAGCTGAGGACGAGGGCCATCGCTTCCTCATGCTGCAGCTGCTGTACCAGGGCTGCTACGTCAAGCCTTGAGCACCTCAGGTGGTGGTGTCATTGATGTTGCCTAGGTGAAATAGCATTAGGAGGAAGAAAAGCAAGCCCTGTGCATCATCACTACTTTAGCTGTCTTGTTTACTTTTCCTGAATTTCAATACTGCATGTGTATATTCCACTTGAGCAATGCCAATAACACCACCAACCTTGTCTCCTATGCTATTCTAATAATATAATATAATATAATATATATTGTATAAACATATAATATTTATAATATTATAATGTAATGCAATATAATAATAATATATTATAATTATATATTTATATTACATGTAATATTACTAATAATATTACAATATAATTGGTATAGTATAATATAGCAATATATAAAACTGATATTGTACTATGCTAATAATATAATATATTGTATGTATTTATACCCTGTAAGCCGCTCTGAGTCCCCTTCGGGGTGAGAAGGGCGGCATATAAATGTCGTAAATAAATAAACAGGGGTCTGCAGCCAGTTAACAGGTAAGGGCAGATGTGGGAAAGCAGAGGAAGGTGGCACATTCCCCTTGCTTATTCTGCCTGCTTTCCTGAGCATCAAAAGTGGGAATAGATGGGTACACTGAGAGAGGAAGGAGCTGGGGATGCAGTTGGGAAAAGGTAGGGAAAAAACATGTCAGAAGTAACTGGACTTGGGAATTTCTCCATGAAGTAGTGGCTTGGGCAGAATGGCAGCTGCTGCAGCACAGCACATGTATCTCTGTTTCACCTCAGTAACATGCAGCAGTATGCCGCCCTCCATGCCTAAGTTTCCTTCAGTTTCTCCACGCTTTAGTATATCCAGTTCCCTGCTGCCTCCGTGGCTGTCCTATGCCATTTTTTAATGGGGTTTTACAAGCCTTATTGTAAAGGTTTGTAAAATCCTATGAAGTTGCCGCCTAGGAAGACTTGAAGTTCCTATTAAAAAGTGGTTATGGCAGGAGCACAGGCAACAACAAATAATAACATTTGCAAAAGTGAAACCTATGAAAGTGGAGGGCAGACTTTTCTTGCAAAGAACAGCACTTTGAGGAGTTACAGATATGACCAACCACTGGAAAATGTTATTCCAGTATTGTTTTCAAACCATTAACAGTGAGAAAGATACAAAGTAATCCAGGGGCAGTTTTGAAAGACAACCTAAATTTCATGTAGTTGCTCTGCATTTCCTTAGTGTACAGATCCTTAAAGAACAAAACACAGGCCCAGTCATCTTGTACGATGAGACCTAAAAGAACTGCAAATTCTTCCTTATTAAAACTAAGATTATTTAATCCAAAATGTTTTCACAATATAGCGAATTGTTTTATATAGCGGTTAGCAGTTATACAATAGTTACTTGCCAGTATGGGCTGATTCAAAACAAAGAGGCAATTCATTTGTAAACTCCTCAGAGATTATAGCAGTTGACAGTTAAATACATTCCAGCAAAAGAGCACAGATCATTTCCCAAAAATATGTAGCTACATCGGTGACACAATTCTGTCTCAGTATCAGGACATTTACCAGATTCTTCAGAAACAGAAGTGCTAGAGGGATGGGTGTGTTAAAACATTTTTAGTGCTAGACTCCAAAGAACAGTATATACTTCTTCCCAGAACAAAGCCACTACTGTTCTCATGGGGTGCATCCACTATATAGAATTAATGCAGTTTGACACCTCTTTAACTGTCATGGGAGCTGTAGTTTGGTAGGCTGTAGTTTGGTGAAGAACCAACCCTATTTGATAGAGAAGACTGAAAGTGTTATAAAACTACAGCTCCCATGAGTCCACAGCATTCAACCATGGCTGTTAAAGTGGTGTCAAACTGCATTAATTTTCCAGTGCAGATGCACACATGGACATGATTTTTGTTTCTTTTAAATTTTATTGTCTTTTTTTTATACCTGAGCTCTGATAGGACATGCTGACTTTCTCTACCATCCCTGTCTATTTTTTCACTTTTACATATGTAAATTATGTAAATTGGTTTTATATTCCAAATACATTAACAAAAGTACATATACATTGTGAAAACATATCATAAGGGTTGAGACTTATTAAGGTATAACTGAGATGGCTAAGAGTTATACCTTAATAAGTCTTTCTTCAGTGTTTTAGCTTGATCAATATGAAGCACTTCTTTAAATTTAAAATATTGAGCGCATGTTTTTAGTTTGGGCCCCATGGACTTTTACTGTTTTGCTTCTGTTGATTTTGTGAGAGACAGCAGGACAATGAAGTTTGATATATTACAATTGTTTATAAATGAAAAGGCGCAAACTTACTTCCACTTGGCAGGCGAGCTAATACAATCCCACTGCCTCCTCGAGCAGTTACCAAAAATCCAGCCTTGATAACAGACAAGATTGCAAGACCTTTTGCTTTGGCAATTACATGGGCTATAAAAATTACATAAAGATGGTAAAGATAAAACATTAATGAATAATACAGAAAAAACAATTTAAAAATTAAGTTAGTGTCAAGCATAATTACACTATCACTCCCTCTCTGTTATCTCCCGGTCCAATCCAGTGAAAGTTTCATTTAAGCCACATTTTTATGCCATGGCATGAAATGTCCTGCAATTCCCTAAGTTTTGATAGCATTTTGCTATGCAACATGTACAAGAAATACAAATGTAACATTTTATTAAGCTTAAGAATTCATCAAAAACATTATTTGCATTCAGTGAAATGTGAAAGAATATGAAGCAAAAGGATTTAATGGGAAAAATACTCAAATTGTATTGATACATTCTAACTTCTGTAAGCATACCATTAACCTACACTAGCAGATATTTAAAGCTATTTTTAGAAAGTTCTGTCTTTCTAAAGTCAAAATTTCCTTCAGCAAGAAAAAAATCCTTTCACCACTCTACTCAGAGAACAGGTGGCTTCTTTTATAATAAAAGCTGATGCATAGTATTTATATTTACTTGAAATAAATCGTCCCAGGTTTTTTAGGTTATTTTTTGAAACTTTATATATTTCAGAAGTATAATGTGAGATGATGATGTTACTATAGCCAATCAATCAGAAATCCCAATAGATGATTTAGAAATCTCTCCGATTTCTATAGATCTTTCTTTTAGTCATCCCTATGTGAGACACCAGTATCACCCTACTTAATGTTGACTGACCACCCAAGGTTCAAACACGACATAGATTCTGGGATATAACTTTTTGAAGTATCAGGGAAGTAAAACAACGTGCTATTCCTTTTGACAGAAAATCTTGCAAATTCTGATTAAGACCTTCCTGTTGACTTCCTGACAGCCATTAAGACACACAGGCAGTTTGTACTCCAAACAGGATTAACTTTTAAGTGAATGTATGGATGAGTGTAGTGTTTAGACCTCCTCACTCTCAGAGAGAGAGAACAATGAAGGGAAGGATAAAAGGAGAAAGAGAGAAGGGAAAACAACAGGGAAAGGAAATGAGACTGAGTGAATGGAAGCAAGGAAAGGGGAAATAGCACATTCATTTTAAAAAGAAAGCGAAATAGCAGAAACCACATTCTAACATCTAATTTTCAGGATGTTTGCTGACCCAACGTAATATTAGCAAAAAGAACTGAATGAGCAATTTCCTATTTCCTCTATAGAAAAAGTCCACTGTTCTGACAAATTGGCTTCAGGAAAATTCCACGCAAGGAATTCTGAGAAACACTCTGAAACTGAAGACACTACCACTTTGTGATTTTTTTATTAATACTACAGAAAATATTATTTGGATCATTTTTTTACAAGATATAGGGGCAAAATTATGTTTTTGGTTAGTGAGGCTTAGAGGCTGAGTATGGGGTTATTCTTTACCTACCCATCAACCAATGGGTAAGTTTGCTTTGTAACTCTCCCTTCAAATGACAAAGCATAAATAGGGCAGGAATGAAATAAATCAATGTTTCTTAATATTATCATTGAATTGACCTCTGACAATCCAGTTTAAAGTACATTGAGGTTGAGAAAGAAGGAACCACTTGATTCACTCCTGTTTCCTTGAAAGTGACATAGCTTTTCTAACAAAAAGAATTAACAGAGATCTGGAGTCTTGACATGTAACAAACAGTTTCTTAATAACATGATCCATTTCATAGTGCTACTATTTAAATACATGTAGCAAACTATTTGAATCAGGGGTCCCCAAACTGAGGCCCGTGGGCCAAATGTGGCTCTCCAAGATAATTTCCCTGGTCCCCACCCTAAACTTTAGACTTAGGGTCACCCTAAGTCTGAAACTACTTAAAGGAACACAACAACAATACAAATTAACTCTCCCATTAGCCAAAAGCCGGTCCACATTTCCCACTGAAATATTGGTCCGTTTATATTGGTTCAAATTGTTCTTCATTTGAAATATTGTACTGTTCTTTCATGGTTCTTATTTTTGGACTTCAAATTAGATATGTGCAGAGTGAATAGGAATTCCATTCAAGCTATAGTTGTGCCCCCCTCAACAGTGAACTGGCCCTCGGCTTAAAGTGTTTGAGGACTCCTGATTTAAATATGATAAATTCATAGAGACAAGACAACATCAAAGCTGAAGGAAAGACTTAAAACTTCACCCACAAAATGATTTTTGAACTCACCAGGTATGATCTTGTCAGGACCATTTCTGGAAGTTATTTCTGTAAACTCTCTTAAAATCTTAGCAGCTTTTTTTGCTTCTGATTTCAGATTGGAAGGTATAGGATTATTCACTTAAAATGAAAAAAGATAAGTAATATGAAAGCATATTATAATAAGTTTTCATCTGTATGGCACAAGACTGATGTCTCCCTATTTTAGAGTCTGTTAACATTTGTTTGTACCAGCGTACAATACATTCCTAAAAATCTGGCTAGAGTTCCTAATACATTAGGTCCCAACATTATTATGGCATTATACAGCTACAAAATTGCAGTTAGTTGGTTTGATGGTTAACTATATTAATGCTTTGCTGTTTGAAAGTATCTGAGGAAAGGTAAATATTAGGATAGCTTACGTAACAAAGCAAATAGCTCTTGGTTTTGTTAATGACAGAATGCTCTAAAATATTTTTGTCTACATATCAGCAGCATAATGTTTTATTTAAGCCACTGGTTCTCAACATGTGGGTCCTCAGATGTTTTGGCCTTCAACTCCAAGAAATCCTATCAGCTGGTAAACTGGCTGGGATTTCTTGGATTTTTAGGCCAAAACACCTGGTGACCAACAGGTTGAGAACCACTGATTATAGAAAACTCTCTTCTTCTACTCCGGTTAGAGATGCAGCCCCCCTTTGAAAGCCCCCCTTACTACAGTTCCTCATGTTGTGGTGACCCCCAACCATCAAATTATTTTAGTGGCTACTTCATAACTGTAATTTTGCTACCGTTATGAATCATAATGCAAATATCTGAAATGCAGGATGCATTTTCATTCACTGGATCAAATTTGGCACAAATACCTGATACGCCCACATTTGAATACTGGTCGGGTTGGGGGAGATTGTTTTTGTCATTTGGGAGTTGTAGTGGCTGGGATTTATAGTTCACCAACAATCAAAGAGCTTTCTGAACTCCACCAACAATGGAATTGAACCAAACTTGGCACACAGAACTCTCATGACTAACAGAAAATACTGGAAGGTTTTGGTGGGCATTGACCTTGAATTTTGGAGTTGTAGTTAACCTATATCCAGAGAACACTGTGGACTCAAACAATGACGGATGTGGACCAAATTTTGCACAAATACTTAATATGCCCAAATGCGAACACTGCTGGAGTTTGGAGAAAATAGACCTTGACATTTAGGAGTTGTAGTTGCTGGGATTTACAGTTCACCTACAATCAAAGAGCATTCTGAACCCCACCAACGATAGAACTGGGCCAAATTTCCCACACAAAACTCTCATGAACAACAGAAAATACTGTTTTCTGATGGTCTTTGGCGACCCGTCTGACATCCCCCTGGTGACCCCCCAGGCTGAGAAACACTGCTCGAGGACTATGCATTTAACTACTTTTCCAAGTATAATTTCATACAGTACTGTGAGACATTGGTAGCAATGATAAATGCATGCCATACAAAAATAGTATGGGCTGGAACGTAAACAGATTTTTTATTCTCAACTAGAGTAAGAGCCCTTTCATCAGTTGGAACTGAAAACATTCATAGTTATGTATGTTTCAGCAGTTTAGTGGAGGCTAATAATTTGATTTAACTTTACCATATATACTTGAGTATACATTGATCTCATATATAAGTCAAGAGCTGGTCTGGGAGCCAAAAATATGGATTTGTATATGATCTGTGTATAAGTTGAGGGAAACACTTAAGAGTATGTAACAAAGGATCTATAGGGAAAAGAAAAGGAAAATGATGCCAAACAACCCACAAAATTCAAGGAAATATAATTGTGTTCATGTTGAAGGCTGAACGGATGAAGTGAGAACTACGGTAAAGAATAGCTATATGATGTGTGGAGGAGGCACCCAGGTGCAATTGTGGCTAAGAAGACAGATGTTACAGAAGGGGGAAAGTGCCAGCACCGCCTCGGGTGCCCAGGCGCCTTGGTTGCTGCTGTCATTTTTCAATCCAGATATTCAAAAAAGCCCAAAGTGGCACCATGGCAGAAAGAGTAGCAGGGGTCAATATTTGTTTTAGGTTCTTCTGGGACAATCTAAGCTTTTGTCTTCTGCCAGTTTGCTCAGAGATTGAAATGTTTCCTTTAAAAATAAGATTTGAGGTACATTTACACTGATCTGTGGATTTTTGGATCATTTTTTGCTAGAATTCCATGATTTTAACACAAAGTAAGTATGCAAAAACACATATACGTATAATGAATTTCAAGGTTCAGTTTTAAGCATTGTTCTTTGAAGTCTGATCCTTACTACATCCCAATGGCCATAAAACAGTTAATTCCTGAGACAGAATTCATTAACTAAAATTATACCAGTATAAACAGGACACACCAATGATTTTTTCCCAGAAAAGTATGCAGACAACTTAATTAAAAGATGAGATATTATCAGGAAGAACGTCAAGCCAAATTACTTTTGTCATCCAAAGAGCTTGAAATGAGACTCTAAATACAAAGAGACTAAACTCCCTGCCATCATCATAAACAGCATAATCTTTCTGAATGGAAGCTAAAATATATTGAAGAATAAGATAATATAACAACAGCTGTGCTGGATACATTTTGTGTGCAAAATGAAAATGAGAACGTATGCTCTCCAGAGTCTACGGAGTTTAAAAACATTACTCAGAAAAGTAACACTGTTTGTTTCATATCAAGTAATGAGTAATAAAAATGTGTTAATCAATCACTTGAACATTTCAGTTTTTACCCTCCAAATATCAAAAAGAGGAAAAAGTAGAACTCTCTTGAGTAATGGTTCACAACAATGAGTAAACGCTACTTGTCATGCAAAAAATGTAGTGCTTACGACATTCTCATTATAGAATTTGAAAGTAATATTACCCCTTCAATGCTTTCAAAAACTTAACAAATCATAATACTGTTACTATTATCATTTTACTTCCCAAGGACTGAAAGATTGCATGTGGACATCTGATTTTTTTACATATTCTCAGGAAATGCTGAATGAATGACCAAATAAATATAATAAAATAAAAACAGCTCCACTTGAGATACGTTGTGCTGCAAACTAGTTACCGAGAAACCCTGCCATTGCCTCAGGTACAAGTTCTTAGCAATAATAAGGTTTATGTGGTCTAGGACATTTCCTCAATCAGGCCCTCCCAGTTTTGTTACATAATTACCATCACCCCCATCCACCATAGTGAATAATGAAAGAGATGTCATACAAATCGGCAGTAAGACAGGAGATTTTAGATACCGTAAAAAGGCAGAAGATTCCTAGTTTTGCATGCATTGTTACTACATTTATTGTGCCAGAGGCAGGCAAAGATTTTTGTTTGGCTGGTTGTCAGTCACTTGGGGAGTAACTTTGCAAGAACAGAATAAAATCACAGCTGAAATGGTTGGTGCATTTTTCTTCTTCTCAGACAAAGCTGTTGTAAAGAGAGAAGGCCAAGTACTTCTCCACTGGAATTGTTAAGGCAGTTTCTCATCACTTTACATGCTATGACATGAAAAGTAGTATTTGTCTTCCTTTCCAACTTTCCCTCATTAATAGTGACATGCTCAAAACAGTTTATATGAAAATTCAGAAAATGCTCTATTCTATTCAATGTCCCAAATAATGCTTTATCTGAATTATTTAACATTTTATTTCTCTCTCACAGTCTGTGGTTTTAAATCGATCTAGTAATTAACCAATGCAGTACAACATTTCTATTGTGTCATTTTTTTCATTCTGCCTATATTTATTTCGTGTGTGTGTGTGTGTCTTTAAGTTTCCTATCCATTTCTTAAGCAAGGAATACTCCACCAGTTTGTTCCTATACCTAAATGCTATAAACCATACTCTTCTATACTATTTTCTACTTATGTCAATTATTAACTAGTCGTGTGTGTGCGTGTGTGTGTGCCTTCAAGTTGCTTGCTTTCCTAGGGAAAGAATGCTATTCTAGGCAAACTAGAATAAGCTAGTTTGCCTATTTCTTCCCCTGAAAAACATTCTGCATTATAACATCCGGGAATTTTTGACTACAAAAAGAAAAACCCAAAATTGGATCTTAGAGGAAGGAATTCATATAAACTCTCTTCTGCCAATTTGTTATTTGTTTATTTCAACAAGTTTGCCATATAAGAGCCTACACCCCCGCCAAAGATTGCACTTCTCAAAGTAGGTACTGTTATAAAATGTTCTCTTCACAGTCTCAGCCTGAAAGAAATAGACAATATTTTGGAAATACATCTAGATGGAAAAATATTTAAAATGTGCCCAGCCCTAGGTATTCACAGGAGGAAGCACTTCCCCTCCTAAATTTTAATTACATTTATACATTGTAATGCAAAGAAACAAATGCACATATGGTTAGTCAGCAAGGAGTTAGGTGCTCTCTGAGTCTACTTCCATTAACCAACCAACCAACAGCAGAAGTCTGATGCTCTAGTCAAAACATTGCCTGGGCCACTGGGCAGCACAGAGGAATGCAGTGTCTTTTGATCTAATATGGGACTTCTGTAAAGGTTTGCAAGAATTTGACACCATAGACATATAGTGGCAATACAAAACTCCAGAGATACAACTTTACATAAATAAGATCTGAGTCTCAATATAAAATCAACATCATATAAACCTGGAATAGATTTCTCAGACTCACGTTGCTAACCCACACAAGAAAAATGCACAGATATGTTATAGCAGCACATGTGATTTATGCTCCCATTCCACATTGCCCTTCTCTGGGCAAAAAAAAGTTGTTGATGCCCTTCCAAAAGGCAAATGAGTCATGATTAATATTTGAGGTGTAAGCTGTGTTGATAACCAAGAACAAACATAGAAGTATGGTATCTGAATGTTAGATGGGCGTGAAATGTATCAGGCAACATCCCAAAATGACTTTGTCTTGCTTTCTACTATTCCATCCCACTGACCTAGTGCAGGTCCTTATGAAGCTGTCCCTGAAGAATAGAGGACTCCCAAAACAGCATGGAATACTGCAGGGGCGCCTCAGTTTTTGTGAGTGGAAGAGCACTTACCCAGCAGAAAGCTTTCATAAAGCCTATGGAGGCAACAGCTGGCTTCTTGTCACCTTCTTATGACTACCTCCATTTTTATCTCTTAAATTTTCTATTCCTTTCCGTTAATGCCTCCATCTATTCATGTCTGTCATCTATTTTATGTTCTCCATTTAAAATGGACACAACCTCTCCAACAGCAAGGATGGATAAAACAAAAGTCACCTCCAGGTAAAACTACAAGTGAGGCCATTTCTTTTGTTTTTAGGGGTTAATGGGAGTCTTGTAGTGTGACTAAGGGTAAGCATGTTCACAAGTAACTAAAGCAGCGAGTTGAACAAATGGTAAATGTTTATTTTTCTAGCTTGGAGTACACGTTTTTTGGCAGAAGTGAGACTATAAAGGATCCAGCAACACTGACCTTTTAGTGAAATTTCATGGCTCTGGGATATATGCATCTACAAGTCTCATAGTTGTTTCCAATAAAAATCTGACACATTGTAATACATCCAATATAGGGAAAAAGTTTTAATATCATGCAGGGAAACGACAAAATGGTTCTCTTGGAGAAAAAGCCAGCACAACTACTGTGAAAGCATTTCACTAGACCTGTGGTCTAAAGCCTTGGAATTAATCCAAAGTTTTTTCAACAAACCTGGGCAGATGAAATGGATCCTGATGACAAAATCTACTGCAGTTACCTAGATCTTAAAAATTGGCAATGCAAACTAGGATGAGAAACTGATTGGAATCCAGTGAAGTTAAGAAAAAATTATGAGTAAAAGTTTGCAAATCCCCGAATTTCACAACATTGGCTTTAATGTATAATTTGAGAAAAGTCTCCTAGTCATAAAAATCTATTATAACCAAAATCGAATATAATCTAATAAACATACAACTGGCTCCACTATAGATCAATATATCAATGATTGTGGGGATCATAAGTGGAAAGATCTTCCCAGTTTAGTCGTTAGAGCCAATCACCATGAAACTTATGGGATTGACAGCTACATGTGTAAAAGTTAAAAATATGAGTTTCTAGAATATCACCCCATTTCAGAAGACATGAACATAGGAAATGTTATTTAGGTCCTGAATCCAAGTGTTAGTCCCAACTACAGTAGAGCTATTGAATAAATGACCATTTAATAATTTTGGCATATCAAGTTCCTATTGATTCAGTGGGTCCAATCTAACCGCTTTGAGTCCCCCTAGGGGTGAGAAAAGCGGTATAGAAATACTGTAAATGTAAATAAATAGTTGCAGCTAACAACTATATTTATTAGCATGTTTGTTAGCATAACATATTACGAAACCACATTTTATAATTACCTGGTTACCCTTTTAAAAATACCCCTCTCCAAATCAAAGCCAGCAGGCGCCCCACCCTGCTCCAGTGGCAACAGGAGCAAAGAAAAAGTGGGTCAAGTGTTTCATGACAAAAGCTTGGCCCAATATGCTGTTTAAAATCTCTATGATAAAAAAAAAGGCTTCATTCAAATACAAACATTGTTTCACAGGTTTGTTATCAGTGGCCTACAGTACACAATGTAATGACGTACACAGTGACAGGGCAGACTTGTCTTTAGTGATCTTAACTTTTCAGGCTGCTTAATAGCTGCCACTGTTTCAGTAAGACTTTAAAAAAACTCTGAAAGTAATTCTTATTTGTACTATGAATTGGATATATATTTACACTTGTAAATATACACTTGTAAATGTGGAATTCTAATCCCATTTGGACATTTCTTAAACAGATATTCTCTCACACCAGATGCGACTTGGTTTCTCAAGTCGCTCCTGACATGAAAAAAAACCTTACATCTGTATCTTAATACTGCAAAACAAGAAGTTATTACTTCAAATCCCACTTTAGCTTTGTACTCAAAGTCTAGCCTTAGGCAAGGTATCTTTCACTTTTAGCTCCTTCACAATAAAACTGTTGCAATACTGATCTAGATTGAAGCATTAGTCTCGCTCTGTGTGTGTATAAAAGCAACCCATATAAACTCGAAAGTGATAGACCCATGGAAACAATGCCTTATCCAGCCATGTTCCCTTACTCCTGTTAGATAAATTATAAAATATTTAAAATGGCCATTTGAAAAGGGGATGATTGTAGTAAGGAGTAGAATCTGCTTGAATATCTTGAGTGAATACAAACACATAGAGGTATCAGATGTTTTAATAACCTTTTGTAATGTAATTTCTCATACACACACACACACACACACACACTATATGATGCTATGTACTCTAGATCAAAACCAAGCTGCAGCATCCCATGCAGGGACATGAGAGAACCCTCTCACAGGATGGTAACACGTCCAGGCATCCCCTGGGCAACATCCATGCAGACGGTCAATTCTCTCACACCAGATGCGACTTGGTTTCTCAAGTCGCCCCTGACATGAAAAAAAAACTTATATCTGTATCTTAAAAAATCTTTGGGTGTTTTATCTTGTTATATTTCCCTCAAATTAAAAAAAATGCATGCAGTCTTGTAATAATTGGTAATATGTAGTGCATATAGTTTTACACATCTGAAAAATTGCTTGGGTGATTTTCTCTCCCCCCCCCCCCTTGAATAAAAATTATTCTGGAGGTAGCATAGAAGCAGAAATTATTGAGCATAGAAAACAACTATAGGAAAAGGAGAGCTCTTTCACACAGCCATATAACCCAGAATATCAAGGCTGATAATCTATATCAGGGTTCCTCAAACTAAGGCCCGGGGGCCGGATACGGTCCTCCAAGGTCATTTACGCGGCCCTCGCTCTGGGTCAGCCTAAGTCTGAAACTACATGAAAGCACACAACAAGAACAACAACAATCCTGTCTCATCAGCCAAAAGCAGGCCCACACTTCCCATCGAAATACTAATAAGTTTATATTTGTTAAAACTGTTCATTTTAATTATTGTATTGTTTTAAAGTATTTTTGCACTACAAATAAGATATGTGCAGTGTGCATAGGAATTCATGTTTTTTTTCAAATTATAATCCAGCCCTCCAACAGTTTGAGGGACTGTGACTTGGCCCTCTGTTTAAAAAGTCTGAGGACCCCTGATCTATATAAATAAAAATGTAATGTTCATTTGTGGGAGTAGCATAACTTAAAAAAACCACTGGACGAATTGAGACCAAATTTGGACACAAGATGTCAACAAGTGACCATCTATACAAATAAAAATGTAATGTTCGTTTGTGGGATTAACAGAACTCAAAAACCACTGGATGAATTGACACCAAATTTGGACACAACACACCTAACAACCCAATGTATGTCTTTCACTCAAAAAAATGATTTTGTCTTTTGGGAGTTGTAGTTGCTGGGATTTATAGTTCACCTACAATCATAGAGCATTCTGAATCCCTCCAACGATGGAATTGAACCAAACTTGGCACACAGAACTCCCATGACCAACAGAAAATACTGGAAGGGTTTGGTGGGCAGTGTCCTTTGATTTTGGGTTGTAGTTCACCTACATCCATAGATCACTGTGGACTCAAACAATGATGGATCTGGACCAAATTTGGCACGAATACTCAATATGCCAATATGTGAACACTGGTGGAGTTTGGGGGAAATGGACCTTGGCATTTGGGAGTTGTAGTTGCTGGGATTTATAGTTCACCTGCAATCACAGAGCATTCTGAATTCCACCAACAATAGAATTGGGCCAAACCTTCCAAATAACACCCATGTGGGCCACAGCAACACGTGGCAGGGGACGACTAGTCACTCATAAAAACACTGAAAAACAGCAGAAGATACTTAAAAGGCCAATTTTTTTAAAAAAAGAATACATTGCAATGCATGTGCAAAACCACACATATATACATAAACATACATATATACATATATACACAAACAAAACACAGACTGGGCCACAGCAACAAACCCACACGCTCCCTTCATTCATCCGGAGAGGCCCTGCTTGCGATCCCACCTGTGTCGCAGGCGCGTTTGGTGGGGACGAGGGACAGGGTTTTCTCTGTGGTTGACCCCTGACTCTGGAACACCCTCCCCAAAGACATTAGACTAGCACCCACGTTGGCAGTCTTTAGGAAGACCTTGAAGACCTGGCTATTCCGATGTGCCTTTCCGGAGTAGGATAACCCCCAGCTCTATGTCCCAGAAGCACTTTATTAGAGTTTAAGACTCTCTGCACATTGCACTTGCCCAGAAATCCAACATACCAACAGCCACACCAAGCACTTTTTAACCTGTACCCATCACTGGCCCGGCCCTGGTTTTTATTGTGTAATGGTGTAATGTTTGTTATTGCTTATGTTTTTAATTTTTAATTTGCTTTAAATTGTTATTGTTTTGCTGTTGTTGTGTTGAGGCCTTGGCCTTTGTAAGCTGCATCGAATCCCTTGGGAGATGCTAGCGGGGTACAAATAAAGTTTAATAATAATAATGGCAGGGACAGCGAGTCCGTAATAATGGCTTTGAACTGGGTTACCTGAGTCCACACTGCCATATATTCTAGTTCAATGTGGGTTTTATACAGCTGTATGGAAGGGGGCGAAGAAAAGCCTATAAAGAGGGACAGCCTAAGGGTTGAGCTACACTGTGGAATTAATGCGATTTGACCCCACTTTTCCTGTCCTGGGATCCTGGGAGTTGTGGTTTGACAAGATCTCTGCCAAAGGCTGATTATGGTGTCCCTCCAGGGTGCAACTCCTTGGCAGTTCATTCTATAAGAGGCATGGGCCAGCTTGGGGCCTTCCAGGTGTTTTGGGCTTCAACTTCCACCATTCCTCACAGCCTCAGGCCCTTTCCTTTTCCCCCTCAGCCGCTTAAGCGGCTGAGGGGGAAAAGGAAGGGGCCTGAGGCTGTGAGGAATGGTGGGAGTTGAAGCCCAAAACACCTGGAAGGCCCAAGTTGGCCCCTCACCCGTTCTACAGTGTGAAGATGCTTCTCCCCAACTCCCAGCCTCCCAACCCATTCTTTTAAAACTGTCTCAGCCCATACTCACTTCTTCCAAAGCCTCTGACAAGCCTTCTTCCCTGGAGGCGCCCCTGTCGCCCTCAAGAGCAGCAGCCAAATGCCTCCGCATCCCTGAGACGCGCCCCGCCCTGAGACGGGAGGCGGCGGCGGCTCCTCACCTGCAACAGGTGCACTGAGAGCTCTGGGCCAACGAATAGCCGTCCAACCAAGTGCCTGATTCGTTTCTTTCAAACAGTCGCCAAAGATAGGCCTTGTACCGAACAGGGCGGACAGACCACTCTTTCCAGTGGAGTGCTTTTATTTAGTTTTAATCGTGCGTTATTCAGGCAGTCGTCTTAGACACCCTTGGAGAGGGGTCTTTCCTCGCTGCCGGAAAGCAGCGTTTACGGCAGTTCGGAATCGGCGCCGCTGCTCCATTATCCGTTGGGGCCAATATGGCGGCGGGGGAAGCCCGCTCTGTTTTGTTCGTGTGCCTCGGTGAGTGAGGTTTTGAGGCCAGAGGGGAGGAATTAGAGCTTGGGAATAGGGGAGGAAATTGCTCTCAAGGAGGGGAAGAGGTGGTACTTGGTTTCGTCTAACTCAGTGACTTATGTAACTCAGTCATCCTTGCCAATGGGCCTCCTCTCATCAAATTACACTGTTCCCTCACTTATTGCTGGGGTTACGTTGCAGGACCTCCCGCAATAAGTGAAAAAGTAGGGATGCTCTATTTTAATAGCTATACATCACTAGCTGTCCCCTGCCACGCGTTGCTGTGGCCCAGTCTGGTGATCTGGAAAATAAAGTAATGAGAAAGTGTTGGTTTCTAATATAGGTAATTTCTTTATGCTTGTGGGTAAACAGTATTTCTTGCTGTTTCTTTGTCAGTGTTGATGTGGAGATTGTCTGGTTTGCCTACTCTGGAACATGCGACATATCATTGTCCTCAGGCTTGTAGGGGGGGGAGTTTAGGGGTTCAACCCCCCCCCCCCCCCCCCCCCCCCGAAATGTTTCAGATTTTTGAAAAAAAAACCCTGGTTTACTCATGAATTTTAACTGGTTAACCAAATCCCCATGCTAAGTCTATGAGATGCAAAAAAATTAAGAGTCCCTCCAGGACTGCAAGCACTATCTCAGACAAATATTGGCAATTTATTCACACTGTCATTACTTGCAGCAATAGCCGATGTAGTGAAGCAACCAAGTTGTGTGTGTGTGTGTTGAATGCTCTCATTAAGGAGGCCAGACTTGGTGGAGGTGGTTGACAGGTGCGGAGCTCCAGGCTACTTAAGGCTGCTCTGCCATCTGTTGTGCTCTTTGCTTCAGCGTGAGCTAGGAGGCAGGTTTCACCCCCCCCCCGTGAAATTCCCCCCCCCCCCAAATTTTAACTTCTCCCGAATTTTTTTTTCTGGCTACAGCCCTGATTGTCCTTCTTTAGGGGTCCCTTTCAAATCTATAATACTATATCTCTCTCTGTGTGTGAATCGTTCTATTTATCTATATCTATGGCTGGATGGCTCTTTGTCAGGAGGGCTTTGATTACGTTTTTTTGCCCTGGTGAAGGAAGCTGGACTGGATGGCCTGAAGTATTTTCTGTTGGTCATAGGGATTCTGTGTGGGAAGTTAACATTTTATAGAGTTTTCTTGGCAAGATTTGTTCAGAGGGAAGTTTACCTTCCCCTGAGGCTGGGAAAGTATGATCTGCCTGATATCATCCAATGGTCTCTAGAGCAATGTTTCTCAACCTGGGGGTCAGGACCCTAGGGGGTCATGAGGGGGTGTCAGAGGGGTTGCCAAAGACCATCAGAAAACACAGTATTTTCTGTTGGTCATGTGGGTTCTGTGTGGGAAGTTTGCCCCAGTTCTGTCGTTGGTGGGGTTCAGAATGCTCTTTGATTGTAGGTGAACTATAAACCCCAGTAACTACAAATCCCTAATATCAAGGTCTATTTCCTACAAACTCCATCTGAGTTCATATTTGTGCATATGGAATATTCTTGCCAAGTTTGGTCCAGATCCATTATTGTTTGAGCCCACAGTGGTCTCTGGATGTAGGTGAACTTCAACTCCCAAACTCAAGATCAATGCCCACCAATCCCTTCTCTTGTTTCTGTTGGTCAGGGGAGTCCTGTGTGCCAAATTTAGCTCAATTCCATCATTGGTGGAGTTCAGAATGCTCTTTGATTGTAGGTGAACTATGAATCCCAGCAACTACAACTCCCAAATGACAAAATCAATTTTTTTGAGTGATGGTCACTCCTTGGGTTAGTAGGTGTCTTGTGGCCAAATTTGGCAGCAATTCATCCAGTTGTTTTTGACTTATGTTAATCCCACAAATGAACATTACATTTTTATTTATATAGATTTTAGTAGTTATACACTTTGAAAGTCTTTATAAACTTAAAATAAAGTGAAGGAAAGGAAGGAAAGGCCCTTCAAGGCTGGAGGGAGGGAGGACTGAGGAAACCGGCTTGGAGAGCGGCAGCGGCAACACCCCACAAAACAGTGAAAATACCATGATATATATTTTTAATTAAAAAATTTTAATCCGCAAAACAACGAGTCCGCAATAAGCGAACCGCAAAGTAGCGAGGGAACATTGTATATCAATAGGGCCCCTTCCATATTGAACTGGATTATATGGCAGTGCAGGCTCAGATAACCCAGTTCAAAGCAGATATTGCGGGTTATCTGCCTTGATATTCTGGGTTAAATGGCTGTGTGGAAGGGCCCCATTTCATTTAAACCCCACCCTGTCTCCTCGTGGAGATTCATGGCTCAGTGCTGTGGGTTCATGGAGTTTGGAGTTTGGTGAGGCACCAGCCCTCTTTGGCAGAGAAGGCTGAAGACCTTACAAGACTACAGCTCACATGATTCCACATTACTGAGCCATGGTAGTTAAAGTGACATCAAACTTCATTTAATCCCACAAGGTAATCCACCCTCAGTCACTACCTATTACATTATGTTATTGTGATATGGCCTAAGGGCGAATCAATAAAATGTACTGTTATTACACTATGTGACATGTTTTTTGTTTCTAGGTTATCAATGTCATTTCCTAATCGGTTCTTTTGCGAACACATGGAAAAAGTTTCTTGAACTGCAAATATTTTGCTTTGATGGGACATCCTGCAGCACATTTTGCTATAGTTTTTCAATGAATAGATCATAGAGTCTCTACCTATTCCGCATAGTTGTAGAAATTATCAGAAAAAAGTGTGTGGATTTATTGAATTTGTCCCTATAACCCCACTTCCTTCCCAAATAAAGAATAACAAGGTGGTGGCACAGAAGGAATGTAATAAGTTGGTTATTATTTATTCTATTAGATCTTTTTAGCTGGATCTCTAATAGTCAAGCAGCATTTTTATTAGTTTGAAATGTTTTGTTATTTTGTGTTGTCAAATTGTTTCCAACCAACAGAAACTCTAAGGTCTTGGTTGGATTGGATCTATACAGCCATACGGGATTTGTTGGATTGGATCTACACAGCCATACAATGGCATTTGGATCTGAATGATATAGTCAGTGTAGATCCATGTAATGCAATTCTGAATGTTGTTATATGGCAGCATAGACTCAACCCTGTTAAGTTTTGTTCATAGGGGTTTTTTGATTGATATCCTGAGGCTGGGAGAGTGTGACTTTGTCAAGGTTTCTGTGTGGGCTTTACGACTGAGTGAGGATTCAAGCCCTGGTCTTCAGAGTCCAATGTTCAAAGCACTACGTCATGCGGACTTCTAGAGTTTGTGGTTGGGGTGTCAGAATTTCTTAGAATAGTAATGTTTTTGTCAGTTATTTTTAATGTTTTTGGAAATGAATTTGACTGTAGGCTTTAGCTTTAACTTAGTTTAATCCTAAAATTTTCACTTATAACACTGTATCTCTGTATGTATGTATATTTTCCCCATTGTATTTTGTGTTTATGATTGTCTTTCTTCTCTGTTGGGGTTGTGTGTTATATACTTTCTGTCCAAATCAATAAGTGTGATGGGGTTCTTAAGCAAAATCTAATCACTGGGTTTTTAATGGTGGAAATAGAGGGGTTAGGGTTCATGAGTGCAAATAGTAGTGCCTGACTCCTCTCACGTTGCAATTAATATTTGTAATGGCATTTAAAGCTTTATGTAAGTGATACATTGCCCCTTCCATCTTTCCATTTTGCTTCTGCTTGTTAGGCCTAATAGCAAAAAGTAACTTTAAGATTTGAAATTGCTTTTAACTGCTGATATGCCATTCAGGCAGAATTGCTCCTTGTACCAAAGTTGATGTAAAACATAACTGTGGCTACATTTTAGGTCAACAGCTAGTAATGTGCACATTGAAATAGAACCCATGACATTAGTGGCTTGAACATTAAGAAAGGCAAGTCAAATTGTCCTTGTGCAGTGAAACTGTCTTACCTCCTTTTCTCTTCTGTGGCAGCTGCCTACGAAAAGTTGTGTAGGGTTTGGAAATGAACGGAAATAAAATAAATAAATAAAGGAGGCTTGCAGACCAGATTTTTGTCCTCACAGCCCACTGGTAATCCATGGCCCACAGGTTAAGAATGCTCTAAGTGCAGGTCTCCAGGGCTAGGTGAACTGCATCCAAAGATTTAAAAGTAGTTGGCAGAGTAATCTAAAAGGTACAGGCCATACTCATTGAGAATTCCTGGTGAACAGGAGATGTTCCAGTGGACCAGAGGAAGTCAAATTTGCCATTTTCAAAAGAGGAAAGAAAAGAGGACCCGAACCACCCCCGTCAGTATGACATCAGTACCTGGAAGACTCTAAAGCAGTTCATTAAACAGTGTTCTTCCCTAAGACAAAATCCATAATATTAAAAGTCCATGTGGGTTTCTCAAAAAACAAGTCATGCCAAACTAGTCTTATCTCTCTCTCTCTGTATTTTGTTAATAGGGTTACAAGGTTGGCAGATGAAGGGAATGCTCTGGTTGTTCATATATTGATTTCAGTAAGGCAAACAAGCTAGTAAGATGTGGGAGTGGTTCCCAACCTTTGGTCCTCCGGGTGTTTTGGTCTTCAACTCTCAGTTTCTAACAGCTGGTAAACTGGCTGGGATTTGAAGTCCAAAAGAACTGAAAGACCAAAGGATGGGAACCACAGGGCTAGAGAGTGCTACTGTTAGGAGTACTTGTAACTGATTGATTGACCGAGCCCACCCGATATCTTGAAATAAAGTGTCTTCAGTTGTTAAATGTGGAGTTGATGCGTTATTACCTCCCTCCCCATCTACTGACTTGAAATAAAGTGTTTGAAGCATAAGGAGATACAAACAAAGAGACAACTTCCTCCCCAAGGAAATCAGGTTAGTCCCCTCTCTCTGGACCTTCAGGAAAAAGCTTAAGACATGGTCATGGGACCAAGCATTCGAGCAGTAATTGTAGCAGTGCAATAATGATAATGAATTAATGTGATTGACAAATGGACTGGTTTGGGACTACGATTTGAATTTGTGTGATTTAACTGTTTTAATAATTGATCTTTTAATTGTTTGTATTTTAATGTATTTATTTTTAGATTGATATGAGTTGGCATCAAATTGTTTACTGTTGCAAGGACACCCTGAGTCCCTAAAGGTTGAGAAGGGTGGGGTACAGATGTGTAAAATAAGCAAACAAACAAACATGGTAGGTGTCAGATTTTCTTTAATCTCTTCAGGCACAGCACATCTGTCAAGTGGGTAAATATTGTTGTAAGAGTGTGAGTTGCAGGTACAAAGTAGAATCAGATCTCCTGAAATTAAGTGCTTTTAAACAAAATATTCAAATCATCTGAAACTATTATAGAAGGGCACCTCAGAGTGAAATATGCAATTGCATATTAGCGTAAAGTCCTAAACCAGAATTGCTGAGTATTCTGGTTTGCAATTAAAAAAGCACCAATCATCTAAGCCAGAGTTGTAGGAAGTACACATTCCATATGACCAGGCTTGTTTATTTTTTTAGCTGCTATTATTATTTATTGCTTTCCTCACATTAATCCAAGTATAAAGTTTATCTTTATTCACATAGCCTGTTTCATCCTTCTAAATACCATCTGAGTGATGTAATATGAAAATAGAAACTGCAATCAGTAATGACATAGTTTTACATTTCAGGTGGTATGGCTGCCAAGGAGGGAAAATTTGCTGCCATTGTTGCTCAAACTTTCTGGCTTTTCTCTATCAAGCCATTGACATGGTGTTAGAAATCTAGACTTATTTTAGAAACAAATGGAAGCTAGATTTAGATGAAATACTACGCTTTTCTGAGTTGGTAGGCTTTTAATTTCTCCAATCATCATTCAGGCTTAACTTGCTTATTTCTGTTAAGTTAGGGTTTTCAGTAGTTACAGCTCAGGATTTTGTGTGCACATGGCCTATACTGTGGACACCTGCAACATTATGGGATGTTCAAGTTTTACCATGATTCTTGGGTTAAGGATGTGGCTATTACAAAAGCATCCTCCCTTTTCATCTGTGAAACATAGAAGGGTATATCTTGTACCTTCTTAATTTTACACTGGTTTCAAAAGGTAATGCTGGTCAAATATCACTGAACCATCTGTTTTCAGTTTGTAACAGTAGTAGTAGGTATTATTTACATAGGAGACCATAATCTGCTTAATACTTGATGAATTAGGCCTGGCTATCTTGTACTGTTGATGATAAGTTGCATACATTACATATACAGAACTGTTTTGCTTGTTGTAAATACAGCGTTGTGCTAGAATCTAGTATTTTAATATGATAGGATTGTTGCCTACCTCCTGTCCTCTCCACCACCACCTGGACCTTTCATAAACCTGTTCCCCTGCTTTTGGAGTGGGTTTGAAGGTGAAGAGAGGAGGAAAAATTGTCCCTTTGCAGTTCTGTTAACTAAAAAAGTTCAATCAGAGTTACCACATTACTGAATCACATGCCCTGAAAGGACTCCACCATCAAATATACTGTGGTTAAAAGACTGAGCAGAATGGAAAGTTATACGTTATAAGTCATTTTCAAAGAGCTCTTTCATAAACCATGACCTATAGAAGGCTGTGGCTGACCAGCTGCCATAAAGACAGTTTGTCCCCATTTGATGCTCTATAGCTTTGGGGAAACTGCTGAATATGTTCCAGGCATCAGTCTTGGTTCTCATAATGTAGAGAGGCAACCCCAAATGCTAGCCTCTCATGCTTCAATATCATAGCCTAAAATCTTTTGCAACAGGCAAAACTTTTGTGGCTTTATGGATTGATTTGGTGGGGCATTTTGTGATTTGCAATGTCTGTCTTTGGGGGGGGGCGGCGGTCAAAAATAACCACACCCAGTAATGCTATGCAGTCTCTTCTTCTATAGTCTTCTAAAAAGCTTGAGTTGTGTACTGATTTGAGCATTGGACTGTTACTCTGGAGACCAGGTTTCAAATCGACCATGGAAACCTACAGGGTTATGTGCTTTAAGCCTCAGGAAGGAAAAAAGCAAGCCCTCTCTCTACAACCTCTTGAGACAATCACCTTTGTTTTGTATGTTAGTGATATGATATGGTAAAATTGGCTTAGGGTGCATCTACACTGTAGAAGTAGTACAGTTTGACACAACTTTCACCGGCATGGCTCAATGCTATGGAATTGTCAAAGCTGTAGTTTTATATGGTATTCAGCCTTCTCTGAGAAAAAGTGCCTCACCAAACTGCAACTCCCATGTTTCCATAGCATTGAGCCATGGCATTTAAAAGTGATGTCAAACTGTATTAGTTCTGATTTTAGAACTGGGAAGTACACTGCAGAAAATATCATTGCCAGTGCAGGTAGCAGTCCCGAAGCCAAACTCTAATATAATTTCATGATATGAGTAGCTTGATGAGTTTCTTTTTAAGAATATATAATGGAAATACAGATATGACCCCCTTATTCAAAGTTTTGATCGCTACATTTTCATGTATCCATGCTTTAAAAAAAATTTGCCACTGGAACTGTTTGTAGCCTCCAGTGAGATTCTATGATATGCTTTTGACCCTAAAATAGTAAAAATATAGTTTTTTTAATCCACAGTTTCTGGTATCCATGGACAGTGCGGGCCTTGGAACATATTTTCTGTGGATATGGAGAGTGTACTGTAACTGAAACAACTTATTGTGTACTTGGGGATAGCATTCTGACCATTTTAATTTCTTTGTGTGTGCTTTCTGTGTTTAATCCTGGGATATTGATTTGAGAACATCTTAAAACCAAGGATTGGTGGTGCTGGAAAGTAGAGTGGACAGAATCCAATCTCTGTCCTTTCTTAGAGATGTTGCTGTATTTCTCTTTTGAGTCCTTGAAGTTGCTATGGTGTGTGTCTATGTGTATGTATACCACCATTTCAGTACACTGTGGCCTGCCAAGACAGCACCATTAGTTCCTTATATTTCTTACTGAGGTTCAGGGCATTGCCACCTTGGACAAGACATGTGTCAGAAGTAGGTCATTACAGAGTAGGGAACAGGTAATATGGGGAAACAGAATGGAAGAATAAGCAAAAGCGTTCTATGGCTATTTCCAAACTAGGAGCCAAAGAGAGTGAAGGCTTATTTCCCTTCTTCAGATTCCTTGAATCTATCTGTGCAGGTTATGTGCCTTCTCTGCAGCTCTTTTTTTTTTTTAAAGTTAAGACCACTTATGGGTGATGCTTTACTTTAGAGTCATGAATTTAATCTGTATTTTTACAGGGAACATTTGCCGATCTCCCATAGCAGAGGCTGTCTTTAGAAAACTTGTAGCTGAAGAGAACATTGAAAAGCAGGTAAACATTTTTTAACCACTGAAGCCATTTTTGGTTAGCATAATGTAAATATTTTACTTTGTTTTTCTGTAGTGGAGGATAGACAGTGCAGCAACATCTACGTATGAAATAGGAAGCCCACCAGATTATCGGGGCCAGAATTGCATGAGGAAGCATGGCATTACCATGGATCATATTGCTAGGCAGGTACTGTATCCATATTCCTTTAAATGTGTGTATGCATATGTTCTTATCCACAGTGGATGATAGACAGTGGTGCTGTTTCTGACTGGAATGTGGGACGCTCCCCTGATGCAAGGGCTTTAAGCTGTCTAAGAAATCATGGCACTGAAGCGGCCCATAAAGCACGACAGGTAGACTGTGTCTGCTGTATTGTTTTCCAGAAACCATGAGCATGTGTATGCTTTATCCCTAACCACCCTTCCCACAGTCCTTTGTAACAACAACTGTGTTTGGTGTACCAGTTTCCAAAGTATTGAATATTGGAATATTCAATACTACATTGGTTAATCTTTCTTTTGGGAGGAGCAGAGGGGTAGATCTGTGAGAAGTCACAAAAATAACTGGCCTCTTCTGTAGTTCATGATCTGTACGTTTTCTGCTGTAGATTGAAATAATTTTATAGCACCTTTGTAAGCCATTAAGAGAAGCCTGATTTCTGTGTCCCATAACAGTGTGTCTAGAATCGGACATCATCAGTTTAGGTGGATATTTTTCCTCACTTGGACCATAATTAAAATTTGCTGGATTAACTTTTTTTCTTTTGGAAAGATCTTTTGGACAATGCTTTGCTTAGCTTTCCATATGATGAAGATATGATGTTCCCTGCTCTCTTGGCCCCTGTATTCCATTAGCAGAAAAAAAAAATCCTCTTGTATGACCCACTGCTTGCTTCCCACCATTATTAAAAACTGTTCCTGGCAACTGAAAGAACATAATCTATAGGTCAGCATGTGCTGTCCTAGCTATTGGAATTGAGAAAAAGAGAAACTAGAAATAGGATATTTACGTAATGGTCTTGATTATTAAAATAAACATCCTACACAATTCTTTAGACATTTTTAAAGTTAAATTATGCCTGTGATTTTCATGTCAGAAAAAGAAGTTATTGTATTTTGCATTCAGGCTTTTTATGTGCCTATACATTTTATATCCTGTCTTTCTCTCAATGCATGAGCCAACATGGTTTCACATCAGTGCTTCCCAACCTATGGTCTGTGGACCACCAGTGATCCGCAAGAACTAAAATATGGTATGCGGCCTCACAGTGACTGGTCTCGCGAAACCCTCTTATAGTGCTGAGGCTTATTAAATATGGTTTTCTGTGGGCGAGCAGACTACTGGATGCCATATGTTCTGAGCTGATGTGGTCTATCCAATGCAATTTTCTGAATCAACACCCAAAATAACCAAACCAAATCTAAATTTGACCAAAAATGATTTGTAACCCTTTTGGTACTAAGGTTGGATAGTGGTCCCTGTTCAATTCAAACAAAGGTTAATGATTAAAATATGAAACAATTAAAAAGTTGATGATACCAACTTCTTTTAAAAAAATAAATAAATATGCAATTGGGGTTTGGTTCCAGGACTCCCTTGGGTATCAAAATACATAGGTTCTGAAGCCTCAGTATATACAGTGACATAGCAAAATGGTAAAATATAAAATATTTAAATGGTAAAATATAAAATAGCAAAGATTTGCTCTTTCAATTTAATCCATGGAAGGTTGAATTCATGGGTGTGGAGGGCCAAATGTAAACTATCCCTTTAAGGCAACTATTGGTTTAAGAATTCAAAATATTTTTTAAAAAATATGAACACATCATTCACAACCATCTTTTGGATTCCTTTAATTGCTTTTCAAATTTTAATTTCATTCTGGTTCTCCTAAAGCTGTTAGCATGTTTGGATGCCCAATCCTTTCAGTGTTCCGCTAGTTCCATCTGTCTTGAGCCGAGAGATGTAGTGTTCTATCATTTTTATTATCTTGGCTTTTACAGAATTACAAATAAATTTTAATTATTTTCAAAAGATGCATAGATCCCTTTTTCAAGGCCTAAAATACTCTGTATGAATATTAAGTTGCATCCAATTGGCTTATTTTTGTTCTCCAAAAACTTTACATCAGTGACACAGGGAAATATGCTATTCTGATTGATTCTGCCACTTATTGTCCTTCACCCAAATCTGCTCTGGGAGGATTGTCATCTTTCTGTCATCCTCAGAAGATAATATTGAATGTGAATATTAGTCTGGACAGAAGTTTTAAAGTTCTTTTGGAAACAATATGCTAAGTATCCAGATAGAATTTCACAGTTTATTTCCTTTCAGCATTATTATATGTGTTTTCTCTTCCTCTTTCCGCTGTCTATATAGGAATCAAATATATCTTTTGAAGACACAAAATTCTTTCATTTGGAACCAAATAACTGCTTTCAGCAGGCCTAAAACTTTCATTTTTCCCTTTTGTTTTTAAACTAGTATCTGTTTCAGTTGCTTTTGAATCCCCTATAATTTCAAAAAAAAAAAAAGTAAGAATGCAATGAAATATTTTAATGCATGAGAGTTAATAATATTTCTGTTTTAGGGTCTTATTTCTACTTTCAATTATACAACTGTAACAGGAGACTTCTTATTTAACAATTTATTAGTATTACATGAAAATTAAACCTGTTTGTTGCATTTCAGGTTACAAAAGATGATTTCCTGACATTTGATTATATGCTTTGTATGGATGAAAGCAATCTGAGGTAAGTTGTGGGAAATGTGTTTTTTTACTTCTTATAAAATATCTGTTTCTGCATGTATCCTTATCCTTTTTCAGAGTACAGTTGCTCAAGTTAGTTTTCAAAACAGATAGAAGTTGAGTATCTTTTACCCAAAATGCTTGGGATGAGAAGTATTTTGGATTTTGGGGATTTGCATATGCATATATAATGAGGTATCTTGGAGATGGTACCAAAGTCTTAACATGAATTAAACAGCTATACTAAAGCTAATATTAACAATATTTCAATAGTTCAATGTGTACACAATTTGTACACATTGAACTATCAAAAAACAAGTTATTACTATCTCAGGCACTTATGTGGACAAATTTTGGAATACTTCAAATTTTGGAATGGCAGACAGGAGGTGCTCAACCTGTACATCTAGAAACAATTTGTATTTCTAAAATATTTTTTTTAATGTTCATTCTTAGCTGCTTGGGTTGACTGTTGAGTAACTTCTGGGTCACTTTCTGATCTCACAGGAATTCTACTGTTATCCAGGAGGATAAAATCCTTCAGGAAAGAAGGAGTATTTGTAGGCATATAATGAAGAATGCTTCACAATACAAAACTAAATACCACAGGTTTTTACAAGGCAGAATAGTTGTTTGAGTAGTTGACAGTGTAACTAATGTAATCTTATATTTTAAAATGATATTGTAGCATTTGTTCAGTTGCCAAAAGTTTGTTTTGATTCTTTAAGGGAGGAGGGTATTGTACCCTCCTTTGGAAGAGAGTTATTGGGTGGTCTAGGAGCCACCAACAAGAATCCTCATCCACACCCAGGGGGCCTGCAACAGTGATATGAATAATAGAAGGGCTTCTAGTGATCTTTAAACCTGGAGAGGTTAATTTGGGAGATTATAGTCCTCCAAGCAACAAAGGCCATGGTGGTGCAGCTGCAGAACTTGCTGGCCAGAAGGTTGCCGGTTCAAATCATCAGACCGAGTGAGCTCCTGTTATTAGCCCCAGCTTCTGTCAACCTAGCAGTTCAAAAACATGCAAATATGAGATCAATAGGTACTACTTCGGCAGGAAGGTAACTGTGCTCCATGCAGTCATGCTGGCCATATGACCCGGGAGGCGTCTACAGACAACACCGACTCTTTCTGTTTAGAAATGGAGATGAGCATCATCCCCCAGTCAGACTCGACTAGACTTAATGTCAAGGGGAAACCATTATCTTTACTATGCAACATGGATGCAAATCATATAGGGCTTTATATAGCATAACCAAGACTTTGCATTCTGTCTGAAAGAGTCTGGAAGCCAATAAAACTATCATAGAGTTGGAAGAGACCCCACGGTCCATCCAATCCAACCCTCTGCCATGCAGGAAAAGCACTATCAAAGAGTCCCTGACAAATGGCCATCCAACTTCTGCTTAAAAACCTCTCCAGAAGGCAGCACATCCCCCTGCTGAACAGCTCTTACTGTCAAGAAGTTCTTCCTAATGTTTATTATTCTGCAGTTTGAATCCATCCTAGTCTCCAGGTGCAGAAAACAAGTGTGTTCCCTCCTTAATGTGACATAACATCATTATGACTTGATTCTTGCATGTTGCCTAAATTGGGTTACCATTTTGGCCAAAGTATGTTTGCCCGTGTGAAATTTCCAGACACTTTTCAAAGACAGTCCCATGTAGAGGGTATTTAGTAATCCAAATGGGATCTAACTGGCATTTGTTGTTGGGGCAAGATCAGATTTCTCAGGAATTAGCCAGCTGCTCCACTAGATCGTGTAAATGCACTGTTGGCCACCAGTGAAACCTGGAAATTCAGGCTTGGGACTGTGTCCAAGAGTACTCCTCAAACTCTGAAATGAAACCAAGTTCTCAGGGCATGTGTTATACCATTTAGCAGTCAGTGAAAGAATAGGCATGGTGAATTATTCTCATACTTATTCACCAATCAAAACAATTTACTCTTATTGTCATTATGTTCTTTGTATATTTATGTACTGTGAAGTAGACTGCTTTTTAAAATGAATGTCATACCTGTACTTTATCCAGTATTAATCTTTAGGAAGTATTGTTGCTAAATAAATGAATATTTGCATGCATATTCATCTTATGATTAAAAGTTGTTTAATGTTTTGTGTTACAGAGATCTGAAAAGAAAAAGCAATCAGATTAAAAACTGCAAATCTCAGATTGAACTCCTTGGAAGTTATGATCCACAGAAACAGCTCATTATTGAGGATCCATATTATGTAAGCATGCCAGACCATTTTTGTCCTTTTCTATTCAGAATCAATATTGTACTGTATAACAAAGACATATGATTTTGGTATTGATGAAATTCTAATTTTACCTGGTGTATTTGATGTTTTCTCTCTTTTTCCCTAGGGGAATGATGAAGATTTTGAAACAGTTTATCAGCAGTGTCTTAGATGTTGTAAAGCATTCTTGGAAAAAAACCATTAACATGGCTGATAGTCTCTAAAAGTAAACAATGTTTAGCCATTCTGTAAAGGTATTAATTTAAAATCTCAATTGACATTAAATTGTAATATTTTACCTCTAACATAGATTGCATTTGAACCTTTTTGATTTGAGGTTTGTAGTGCAACTACTATCTGTGTGCTTCCTGGGAATTATTAGTTTTTTAGAATGAGTATCAGCTGTGACTACAAGGCAACATAAGGAAAAGAACATGCCCAATGCTATGTGGATGATTCTTGGTATACATGTCCCATGCATTATGTACAAAAATTCCTGTGTATATCCTCTAAATACAGTACACTCATGCCTGTTTATTATTTAACTTTAATCTTAAGCATCTTTCTTAAAACTATACTTACACTTTGAACTTCCATAAAAATCTGTTCATGAGGTTTTTCGTGTTTTGTCAAATAAATATTAAAGACGGCATATTTAATCACATTTCTGTACAGGGTACCACACAAAAGTGAAGTAGGAAGACAGACTAGTGCATAAATAATTGTGGATTATTATTTCCTGCTCTATAAAGTAGTTGAAATGTGTGGATTTGACCTTGTTACAAGATGCTCAAAATTAGTTTTAATAATAATAATAATAATAATAATAATAATAATAATAATAATAATAATAAACTTTATTTGTACCCTGCTATCATCTCCCCAAGGGACGCGGTGTGGCTTACATGAGGCCGAGCCCACAATACATCAGCAGAAACAACAACAACAGTAATACAAAACAATTAAATAAAACTCATAAACAAAAAATAGGCAGTAAACATCAACAATAACATGATAACATTAAAAACCTATGGCTGGGCCAAATGTAATAATTAAAATTTTAAAAATAATGCTGAGCAAGACCAGGTGAAATATAACTAGGATAGAATTTCGGAAAAGAATAGGGCGTAGTTTTTACACTAGATTAAAAAAAACCTATCTACTGATTGATAAGATCATCATCATCATCTTGTTATGTTTCAAATAATAAAAATTTATTTATATTCCGCTCTATCTCCCTGAAGGAACTCAGGGCGGATAAAGTTGTTAGGTTGTTGATTAGAAGAAGATAAGTGCTACCTTGAAAAATGTTCACTGTTCTGATCAGCACTTTGGTCCTTTCCAGTGTTAATAAAATCAGAAAAAAAATCACACCAGTGTGCTTAGCTAGCATTACATATACAGTCTGCCCTTCATACCCACAAATGTGTCCAAAACTCGAAAACATTTTTAATGCAAAAAGTAAACCTTGCTTTTGTTGTTTTATATAAGGGACACCATTGTGGCGTTGGATATAATGGGAGTTGAGCATCCACTGATTTTGGTATTGATGGGGTTCCTGGAGCTAGCCCCAAGTGGAGACTGAAGACATATTGTACAAACTGCATAAGTCTATACATGGTGTGTTGGAAAAACAAAATACCTGAAATATTACAGTGATGAATTAAATGACTAGTTATTCCAATGAACAGTGCAATCTTGTACAACATAGGAATCTTGTCTCTTCCCTTATTTACACACACATCTTTTTCCGTAATTCATATTTCTAAAGATAACAACATACTAGGTGGCTCTGTTTTATTTGATGTTTTCCCCTACATCATTTTCCTTGATATTTTCATGCAGAAACTTTGCTTCTGCCATACTTTTGTTTCCATCCCTATCAAATTCATTCTCCTTATTGCCACGTTTCCAAGAAGTACAGTATACCAGTTATTGATGCTCTTCAGAGGTCGCTTCCTGATGCTTGCAAAGAGTTTAATGTTCTTTTCCGGTTGTCTTTCTTTTACTCAGGACTATGTCCTTTCTGTACCATTCCTAATGTTTTTGTGGGCTATGAGGAGTGCAGGAATAGCCTTTCTGCATTATACCATGTTATTTCCCCTCAGTAATTTAATCTGGCACATTAGATGGAACAAGATTTTGATGAGAGAAGTCCTTGATCTTACTTAAAGGGTTCAAGCTTGATGATTGGTTACAGCTTGAAATCCTCCCAACTTGGCATCTCTGTCTTTACACTAAATACACTTCCTTCAGGAGCAGTCGCTCACTGCTTTGTAAATAGGCAGGGCATGGACCTTGTGATTATTTTCAGTCTCTATAGCATAATTCAGCTTGATTGACAGATCTCTGCAAAAATGTCTGTCAAGATCTGTGTGTTTTATATTAACAAAATTATTTTGCCAATGCAAAAATAAGAGATGGTTGTAATTCCTTCGGTTAGGGGTAATAGCAACCACCCTGTAAGGGAATTCTTCATTATATGTACAAAGTAGGGCACTTCCTCTCCATCCCTTAGTTGCTGCTCTTTAAACTCCAGATGTTATCTTCCATAAAAGGAGTGGGGCTCTCACTTCTGCTTAGCAGCATTACTGTAATTCCTTTGAAGCTCATAGACTGCTGTGCTACCATATGTCTGAGTAAGAACCAGTAGGCTAGAGGAGAAATGGTGTAATGGTACTTAATCGTACTATAACTGCAAATCCATTTGTTAGATCCAGTTGCAATAGATCCATTGAATCAGTGTACATTCTGTAGATTAATTGAGTCTATTCAGAGACTTACAACTGGATTTAAGGTATTGCTAAACTTTCAGAAGCATGAATACTCTTTGAAATGAAGGAGATAGATAGATAGATAGATAGATAGATAGATAGATAGATAGATAGATAGATAGATAGATAGATGCTTAACATGTTTGGGTCACATACTCCAGTAGGAATGCAATGAAAGTTGTGGACCCCCTCCTCAGAAAAATGTATGTTAACATAATTTTCAAAGTGAAAGGAAGGAAACGAGGTTACCTGTCATTGACAGACCCCTTGAAACCCATCTATGGACCCTCTAGGAGTCATGGACACAAGTTAGGAATCTACCTTGTTATTGTGAAATGCCTCGACACTTGCATCTAAAGCAGTGGTTCTCAACCTATGGGTCCCCAGATGCTTTGGCCTGGTAAACTGGCTGGGATTTATGGGAGTTGCAGGCCAAAAGACCTGGAGACACACAGGTTGAGAACCACTGACCTAGGGGCTGTTACTCAATGACTAAAATGTATTGTTTTATATAGAGGGACCCAAGTTCAATCTCTGGCATTTTCAGGTAGGGCTATAGGGATTTTTTGCTTGGGGGACTGGAAGACTATTTCCAGTCCCCCAAGCGGCTATAATATCGGGATCGATGGATCAGGCATGTAAAATCTCCGTAACTATTAGTTTTACTTTTGAATTATCATTGATATTTTTAAATTGCCATAGATTCCTTTAATAAGATGTTGTACTGACATGCTGCTGAATCTTGCCTTATAACAGTTGAATAAAAATGTCAAATTTTATTTCCATAAAGTTCACAGCTATAAGTGATTAACTTCCAGGCTTGTGATTTAACAAGTCAAGACCAAATAAAACAGTGAAAAATTAGCTTCAGTATATTGGTCCTTGTAATGTTTTCATTTTATGGTGTCGTCAGTTATTTCATGAGTATATCTAAATGAGTTGGATGAGATATTATGCATATTTAAATAATTAATTAATGCAATGCCTTTCTGTGATTGCTGTTAAGTTTCCATTTACCAAAAAAGGCCTTACTGTCTCAGATCCTCAACTTGGAGTATTTAGAATGGGTGTTTCATATGGTTATGATACCTTAACTAGACTCTAGTACTGAACTTCCCAAACTGTGTGTTGGGACACTGTAGTGCAGGGGTTCCCAAACCTTTTCAGCCGCAAAACACTTTTTGAAGCAAAAGTTTCTCATGGAGCCCCAAAAAATGTTATATATTGTATTATATATAATGTATATATATCAGGCACAGGCAAACGTTTTTGACGCAATGTGTTATCAGATTTGGCAGAGTGGCTGGGCCAGTGGCAGATGGATGAAGAGTGTTTGTGCGAATTAACAAAAAAAATTGAACAAAATCCTATGCACATATCTCATTTGTAGTGCAAGAAAAGGAAAGAAAGAATGATACAGTATTTAAAATGAAGAACAGTTTTAGCCAACATGAACTTAACAGTATTTCAGTGGAAGACCCTAGTGGGTCACCCAGTCCAACCCCCTTCTGCCATGCAGGAAAAGCACAATCAAAGCACCCCCTGAGTTGTGGGAAGGAAAATTGATTTTTAAAAGCAAGGAAGGTGAGGGGGAAAGGATATGGGTGGCAAGGATGACAAGGAAAAAGGCTTTTGACGGCAAGGGAGGCAGGGATGGGGATGGAACAGGAAAGAAGAGAGAAATCTTGGACAGGGAGGAGAGAGCCGCAGAGCCCCTCAGTGTGCTCTACAGAGCCCCAAGGGCTCCACTTTGAGAACCACGACTCGAGTGCATCACCTGTAGTACCTAGGCGTGTCACATGGCAATTGCTTCTGCACCCTCACAAACAAAGGCTGCTGCTGTTCAAGTGTACAGAAAGTGTTATAACTGTTATAATTTGCACGATTTGTTGATTGAGTTGCAGTAATTTCTTCTAAAATGGTTAAGTTTCTAATTAAGAAATGAAAATCTGTTGACAGTGATGTTTGGGATGAACCAGAAGTCTAAAGGAAAAAAATCCAAACCTTGCTTATACAGTAAAGAATATATGAAACATATATATTGTATGAAATTCTTATAAGGGGTTTATTTGACCTCTGGTTTGCCAGCAAAACTGAATTACCAGGTCAGAAAAAGATACATGTCTGAAAAGTGTGTCGCCAAGGTGAAAAGTTTGGAAAGCTCTGTTCTAGTATAAAGTCTTGGAGAGGGGGAAAATATGAACAAAGCTTGTCTTAACTTCATGGATTTTGTCTTTACCGTTGGATCAAATAGACTGTTCCTGATGAGTGATGATAATAGCATGTAATAAACATTTTACATCAATTATTATCACAGATACAGTTACTGTGATTTAACTATGATTTAACTAACCACACAGCAGGTTAAGCTGCTGAGCTTGCTGGCCAAAAGGTTGGTGGTTTGAATCCAGGAAGCAGGGTGAGCTCCTGCTGTTAGCCCGTTTCTGCCAACCTAGCAGTTCGAAAACATGCCAATGTGAGTAGATCAATAGGTACCACTTCGGCAGGAAGGTAATGGTGCTCGATGCAGTCATGCTGGCCACATGAACTTGGAGGTATCTATGGACAACGCTGGCTCTTTGGCTTAGAAATGGAGATGAGCACCGCCCCCAAGAGTCAGACACGAGACTTAATGTCAGGGAAAACCTTTACCATAACTAACCATTTTTATTAGTTTTGTTTTGTTGTGATAGTTTTGATAATCATAAGTATTTGAAGTAAACTCCCTTCCTTTGTGATATGGATGAACTCATCTGTCCCCTATAGAGATCACTACCTCTGGTGAAGAAAGCAATAGAATGATGGTGTAATGGTTTGGGAACTGATCTACAATTCAAGACCAAGGCCGGATCCCCCATTGGCCATGTCAACCCACCAGACATGCCACAGCTTCAAAGGAGGGCAGTGGCAAACTCCCTCTGATGAATCATTCCAATAAACCCCTATTATAGGGTTAACATAAGGTGAAAATGACCTTAAGATGCAGTCTTGCCCTGGTGTTGGGTATGTATTTAAAAAAATTAGTGTGAAAATAATAGTGAATAATTTAAATGTATCATACAATAAAGCTCTTGCCAAACATGCTGAGATTAAGTGATAGAAAATACTATTAAGCTATGTGTTACAAAGTGTGTGTTACATAGCATAAAGAAAACAAGGCTTCCTGTTGAGAAGTTTCAGTTTCAGTAGGAGTAAACTGTCTTATGAAAGCATGCTTCAGAATTCAGAGGTGCAGATAAGTACAGAGGTGCAGATAATATATTAAATAGACGTTATATATTTGGATTTATCTAAAAGGCTTGACATAGCCCTTGGAAGCTTCAGAGAAAATATACTTGTGGCATAAGTCTAAACAAAATTGATTTTTAACGGATTAAAGTACAGAACTAAATGGGAATTCTCAAACAGGAAAGTAAGCAGCAGAGTTCACCGAGGGCTTTTATGTTGCCAATGCATGATCATCCGGTGAAACTGATCAGTAGTAGATCTGGATAGATAGCAGTGCTGCTCTTTATAACTACATACCGGTTATTTTTTTTCTAAAGTATCATGAGATGTAAGGCATTAAGTGTAGTCAATTTTTGATAGTCTGTGGCAATTAGCAAACCCGTCTATCCACTTTTTATTCCTTGCAGTTTATAGCAGGAGAAAAATTTTGTCTCATGAAATTGGCATAAATGCCCAGCTGAGCACTTAATTAGCTGCTTTAATATTCCTCTTTTCCTTTACAATGGTTTTCCTATTTTCATGTTCAGAACAACTATTGAGGTAGGGTAGATGGAGTATGGCTTTCCCAAAGTCGCTCAAAGAGTCTTTTATTTATTTTTTTCATATCAGGAGTGACTTGAGAAACTGCAAGTTGCTTCTGGTGTGAGGGAATTGGCCAATTGCAAGGACGTTACCCAGGAGACGCCCGGATGTTTGATGTTTTGCCATCCTTGTGAGAGGCTTCTCATGTTCCTGCATGGGGAGCTGGAGCTGACAGAGGGAGCTCAACTCACTCTCTCCAGATCTGAACCGCTGACCTAGCGGTCAGCAGTCCTGCTGGCACAAGGGTTTAACTCACTGTGCCACCGGGTGCTCCTAAGTCCCATGACGATTGAGGATTTGAGGGTGCAGAAATAATGCATTTTGATATCCCTGTAACTGCCATGGCTCAATGCTATGAAATCCTGGAATCTGGTTTGGTGAAGCACTAGTACTCTGGCAGAAAAAGCTAAATGCCTTGTAAAGCTATTCCGTAGATTGAATCCATGTTACTTAAAGTGATACCAAACCGCATTAATTCTAGATGCACTACCTAATCCATCACATTGGCTATTACACCAGGTTTCTGTACTATACCGATACCGATTCTGGCCATGAAAGCCTTTGACAGTACATTTATTCTGATACAGCTCTTAATGTCCTTTCTTCTCCCTGTATCTTTTCCCCTACTAAAGGATGACATACGAGGTATGTGGTGTTTTCGTTTGTGCTTCATGCATAGGTTGTGGCTCCATCTATCCTTTTCATTTGGAGAACCATGTGTGTGAAACAAAAATAAGCAAAATAAAACAAAGCTAGTAGTAGACTTGAGAAAGTGATTGCAGGAATGAGCAAGGTTTGCCTTTATGTAATAATTAATCCCAAGGATGTTATTGAACCAAAATTCACTTGTATTATCTTCCACTGTTTGACGTACCACTTGAAAAATTTACTTGGTCCTCAGCTATGCAATGCCTTTTTAACAGTTTCTTAGCAGTAGTTTTGTATCCTCAAAAGAGCAGTTAGGAAGTTTGAAAAATAGTCATGAAGAGCTAGGTAATATACCAAACACTTTATTCTGTATGTATGTTATTTACATTATTTACATATTGCACATTTAGCTGGAATGTTTATACCTCTATTGTACAGAAAACAGATGGCATTTTAGAGTGGATACAGAATCCAAGATTTACATAAAACATGTTTCTCTTGCACATGGCATACAGTTTTCCACTCAATGAATCCAACATAACAGATTTATGAAAAAGACTGGAATGAAACTGTTTGACTTGCATAAGCAAAAAAAGATATAAGTGATAACCATCTTCACAGGAAAGTTTTCTTGACAGTGTCCCATAATGTCTCTGCATGAAATGTACTCAGGTGTTTGATAGTCACTGAAATTCCTTTTTGGCAATACAACACTTCTCTTGTAGGGCAACTTTAAAGTATGAAACGTTTTCTCTTGTTTTGGTAGGATTCTACCATAAAGAATGTGTATCTGTAAACAGTAGTGACAGTATACAAAACACATGTTGAAAGATTTTGGGGAAGTAGTCCATCAACTTGCAAAAATAAATCTCTTCACAATGGAATATGTTACAAAGATGTTTTTTTAATTTCCCTGTTGGTTTCCAAGGCACTTCTCTTGGCGCTATTCCTTTGATAGTAGTGGCATCTGGAAAAAAACAAAACATACATATAAACGTACATGATTAATGTATCAATTTGTATGAGATGGAAACACAATTCACTTTAGTTGCAATCCAACATACACAATAACTCCAGATTGGTTTGCAATTTCTCTCAGGATGTGAGCATCAGCTGTTGCGGAAAATCTTTCAGTTTGTGGATGCAGACTTTGGGTGGCCAAGAATCATACTCCATTCGCCCCGGGAGGGAATGCAAGAGGCTCCTTCAATGCCCATGCCCACAAAGTGCTGCTGGGAAAGCGAGTTCCTGGCAGGGCCCTCTTTGGAGGAGAAGCCTAGGGATGCCTTTCTTGCCTTTTTCTTTCTTTGCAGCCTTATTTGCCTAAAGCGGGTGCTCTGTCGGGGGGATGGCACTTCGAGAAGGAGGCTACAGGGGAAGAAAGAAGGGGAGCCACTGCCACCAGGCACCCACTGTTGCCTGATTTGCAAGGTCACCCACATGCCACTCATCCCCATTGCCTCCATTAGCCAAAAGATCTGGCTGCTTGTGATCTGTTCCAGTTAAGGCTTTGACTAGGTCCTTGCCGGTAATTTTTCGGTGATGTGGCTGCTGGATTGCCAATTTTTCCCAAATCGCCAACAGAATTCTGCACCACCCCTACAAGTAAAGCTACTCAGAGCTCAAACAGCAACAATAGAGCGAATGGTCATGATCACCTTTACTCAACCAGTTTTTTTTTTAATTTTGTGACTTATATTAGGTGAGGAAATTTTCCTCACAAGACCTTAAGGGTGCTATCCCGCTGTGGGTTGCAGGAAGAAAGAACAGGATGTCTGCTTTGAAGTGTAGGCTAATATTGAAATTAGTTTGCAAATTAGAAAAAAAGTTACTGAATTTACTTAATGTCTGTCATGCTGTGAGTATACTGCAACTGAATTACCGCGACATGTTAATCGCTTCTACATGGACACACTAAGCTTTATTAAAACATGGATAATAATGCCAAAACTGCAAATAAAGACCCAGTGTCAATACACTAAAAATGGTTGCTGACTGGTGTGCATTGTCTTGAACGAAGCAAATTTGCTCTCTGTTAACTGCATACTGCTAAGAAGGAATGATGCTTGATGTGTCAGGGTTTTTATGTTTCTTTCTAGCAGGGGGTATCATTATTTATGGCCAGTCTTTTGCTAAAGGAAGGCCCTGAGTCACTCTTTCTGGTTAAGGTCTTCCCCTTTCAGAGAGCTATTATTCCAGCATTGATACATTTATTACACCTATAACAATGGAGATCTTAACACTGCATATAAGACAGCACGCAACTGCTTCTTTCAAAAGCTTACCTTATCCTTCCATGCACATTGGACTTACTGCCAACCGAGTAAGAAGCCTGGCACATCTTTTATAGTCTACAGTGAAAAGATCATAGATCGGTGTTAAGAAAAGAACCAACTTTGCTTTGAAATTTCAAAAGAAAGAACTTGGTTTAACTTGGTATTATATTAAAGGAAGAGCTTATACAAATCTACTGCCATTTATTTTGAAACCATTTAAAACATGTTTACATCTATGTGGCTTGTCAGGTGAACATGATAAATGAGATGTTTACATCTGTAAGGATTTTTATATGCACTTCAGTGTATAATCTTATGCAGACTGCTTGGGTAGAAAGCACCCTTGGACATACTTCTGAGTATGTATGTGTAAAATCGGCAGATACGTCTTTACTAAAAGAGACACTGTGTATTTGAAACTATACAAGTGAACAATCCCTGTTCCTGTAAGCACCTACTTGAAGAATTTCCAAAACACATCTAGGCAGGTATTCAAAGCCATAACCATGTTAGTCTGGAATATCAGTATGCAAAGGGATTTTATAGCTCTTTAGAGATTAATTGTTGATGGCATAAGCTTTCGTAAACTAGGTATACTGAATCTAAGGAAGTAAACTTAGTCCATGAAAGCTTATGCTACCAACCTCTTTCAGTTGCATACATGTGGAGGCAAGTTAGGTATGCAGAGATTTGCAAGAATGGCATTTTGAAATTAGTTGAACTATGGAATAAAAAATGTTCTGTTTACTCTTAAATGAGCTAGCACAAAAAAAGGAGAAATGACATAATAATGAAGTGTGGAAAACTATACTGTTTGCCTACTTATCAGAGCGACCCTGTATGTTTTAATATTTAAAGTGTGAAAAGAATTTTAGGCTATAGTTCACACTGAGCCCTGAACCTCACAGTAACCTGTATTTGTTCATACCTGCCCAAATATTGGATATAAATGTAATGGATATTCAAAGCACAATAGACTACATTGTTGTTCTAAACACAAAAAAATAGTAATGCAAATGTGAACAACTTTAATTTTTTGAAAATATTACATCATGTAGGTACACCTAGGGAGTTGGCATTAGTTGTGGTTCCTGTCAAATCCAAGTTTGGTTGGAAAGCAGGGTGAGGAACAATAAAAGATGAAACTTCTTCTAACCTAGAATATGCAGGGTAATATACACTACAACATGGACTGCAATATGCAGCAACCTATAGTATGTAGCCTCCAACTGCCTTGTTTATGCAATAGATTTCCATACAAAACACAATTAAATAGTATTATGTATACCCTATATATATACACACACACACACACACACACACACACACATATACATATGATTGTACATATGGCATCTCCATGTTTTTAGTTAAGACCTCCTGCAACCTAATTCAAATGTCAAAGATTAATGTCTTTGTGTTAAAAGGCTGCAAAACAAGTAATTTTTTCCCTAACTCAATAAATTACTTGTTTTGACTTTCCAAATGTAAGTAGTTTTAATGTGCAAGTGGCAAGAATTGATAGAGAAACCTACTCTAAAACTGAAATATGAGACAAACAGTTTCAGTTACTGCCAAGATAGCAGAAGGCTACTGGGGGAAGAGAAATTAAAGATTCTCCATTGAGTACATTGATAAATTTGACACTTATGTACATTATTTGTTTGCTATATTGTCAACTTATTTTGTGGGTGAAAGATTCATCCAGTTGCAGAAATCATAATCTCCAGCATGCAGTCTTTCAGCTGTTTACAGCTCAAAAGAAACTTATTTTATTTCCTGTGCAATTATTTGTATTTTGATATACAGGCCTATGTCCAAAGTCCCCAAGCTGTTTTAGATCTGCACATATGTAGTAGTTTGAAAGACATTCATTTACTTCCTGCTGGTCCCTTCTATCTTTTGGAAGAGACAAAAACAAACATTGCCATTTCGATTTAGATTACATGGATTTTGCATTCAACCCTAGCTTTATGAGCGTTTTTTACTTGACAGACAATATTTTGATCTGTTATGGATGCTGGAGAGACAAATTAAAAAAGCATTGCTAATTCATGATTGTGGGATCTATCCAGGGGGCAGAGAAGAGCAAAATTCAATATTAGGTAAATGCCTTTATTATGTTTACATCTGTAAGGATTTCAACTAGATACCAGAAAAAAGTATTCATGTTTTCCAGAACTAATCAGCCTATGAGGTACAAAAAGCAGGAGATAGATAAAAAAATCAGAGTCCAAAAACTTGGCCAGATGTATTTTAATATTAGTTTTTCAGGCTGAATAGGTATTATTCAAGTGTTAACTGTACAGGTAAAGGTTTCCCCTGACATTAAATCTAGTTGTGTCCTACTCTCTAGGGGAGGGTGCTAATCTCCATTTCTAAGCCAAAGAGGCGGTGTTGTCCGTAGATACCTCCAAGGTCATGTGGCCAGCATGACTACATGGAGCACTGTTAATTTCCCGCCGAAGCGGTACCTGTTGATCTACTCACATTTGCATGTTTTCGAACTGCTAGGTTGGCAGAAGCTTGGGCTAACAGCTGGAGCTCACCCCGCTTTCCGGATTTGAACTGCCAACCTTTCAGTCAGTGTGATTCAAGTGTTACGGGGATCACATTCTACCCAATACTGCATTCTGGGATAAAGAAGCAATGACTGATCCTTACTTCTGAAAGCAAGCAAAACACAGATTCCTTATTCTTCATAGAGCAGGATATTGAGAACTATTTGTTTGTTCACTTCTGTGGACCACCTTTTCAGAATGATGTATAGAAACTTAGAAATGGAGAGTTTGAAAGATATTAGATGATTGATTTTGAACAATGATGGGAGAAGACATCATATTTAGTCCTAATTTTAGCACTGTCTTCTCTGACTCCTGCCAGCTATAGTGCTGGAAAACAATTTTTCCTTTTTTAAATCCAAGTGTTGAAAGCCAAAACAGGCTTGATTCATTAATGTGTGTTATCTGATGAACTAGTAAGTTCCAAGTCATTACACTGTAAACCTAAAAAGTTGACATATAATTGGAGTACAAATTGGCTGCCCACAAAAAGTACTTTTTAAGTGATAGTTTATGAAATTAGAGCCAGTAGACCTCTCAAAGGAATTGCAGCAAGAGCAATTTAAAATAGCTTCCCATGGAATGCAATGCTATGATGACTAAATGTGGGTTGTTGACATTTTAAGGTTCAAACCGACAGGTACAATTTATCCCCATCTGAGCCTTATTATACTTAGCAGTAGTTCATTCTTGTTTCAGATAACAGTACTTACATGCAGGAGTAGTACAGTCTCTTGTATGATGGTAAAGTCTGTGAAAGTGTTTAGTGCATTTTGGACCAAAATAAAGATGTCCTAGTGAGAGAGAGAGAGAGAAAGAGAAGCAATAGATCAGTTTAGTCTTGGTACCATAAGAAAGTTAATGGTAAAAACATACAAATATTTAAATTCTTACCTGTTAAATGGTTTAAAAACTTGTCTTTCATTCTCAGATCTCTTGGAACTATTTCTGTTGAAAAGCAATAAAAGACACTCACTTTCCATGCTCTTTAGTTTTTAGACATTTAAAAACAGGATAAAATTTAACTCTGTTTATGAAGGGCAGTAATATTTCTACTAATGTTAGAATCAGTTTGAGTAAAATTGGAAGAAAACCTTATGTCCAAGAAAAATAAAACAATTTTAAGCAAGTATTTTTAGGACTAACTCCCAAAGGGAGTGGATTTCTCAATTACACTGTTGTTAACAGTTCTGGCAAGTACATGACAATCATCTGCATGTTCTCTAACTAGCAAAATAATAAATGTCTTGGTTTGAAAACATTAGGCAAGTGCTCAGTTTCTCACTCACAGGAGTATACTTTTCTTGCTTTGAGGGAAATTTTGTCCTTCTATGACTTATTTGACAGAGGTCATTGATTTAATGTTTAGTGCCTTGGTGACCCTATCATTCACACACACACAGAGAGAGAGAAAGATTTATTCAAAGGGGACTTGTCTTTGCCTTCCTCGGAGGCTGAAAGACTGTGGCATACCCTGATTTCAGGGTGATAGCAATGGCCAGTTGAGTCCTCCAGAAGTATGTCAAATCAGTTTCTTGATTACTTAAAAGAATTTGCTGGATATTCAAGATGCCTATGTTTAATGAAATGTGGTGTTGGAGGAAAATGTTGAGAGTGCTTTGGACCGCAAGAAGATCAAACCAGTCCATACTCCAGGAAATAATGCCCGACTGCTCACTGGAGGGAAGGATATTAGAGGCAAAGATGAGGTACTTTGGCCACTTAATGAAAAGACAGGAAAGCTTGGAGATGATGGAAGGGAAAAGGAAGAGGGCAAGATGGATGGATGCTATCCTTGAAGTGACTGGCTTGCCCTTGAAGGAGCTGGGGGTAGCCACGGCCGACGGAGCTCTGGCGTGGGCTTGTCCATGCGGTCACAAAGAGTCGGAAACAACTGAATGAAGAAACAACAACGTTTAAAGAAATGAATTAGGGTTGTGGAGGAAGACTGTCCAAATGACCAAAAGTATGTAAGGAGGTGAAATTGCTGAGAAAATTGTATATGGTTGGAAATTCTAGCTATAAGGATGAATCTGGGATGGATTGAACCAACTTAGAACTTTCAGAAAAAGAAAATAAAGTGTTGGGTTTTGGAAAAAGATTTAGAGCAACCTACAGAGACCAAGGAATTTGATATCATACACAGGAGTGCCATTTTGGATAACTGTTGAGAGCAAAGGATTTGTATACCCAAATAGAGATAGTGTCTAGAAAATTGCAAAAGGGAATGAAGAAAGGATGCATTTTGAAGAAGACATGGGAGACAGACAGAGTACCCAAGTTGGACATGGACATGGACTATGGGATAATCTCGAGTATTTTTAACAGTTGAAATTTGGTAAAAATCCTCACATTAGATACAAACACATATAAGAGGCAAACTGAAAGGTATGGTCAAGAAGGGTTTTGAACCTTAGTCTCTTAGATCATTCATAGATAATGAACTACAAGCTGCCCTGAAGTTGCAAACAAGATAGCTTCTCAGGGTTTGTTCTTAAGTTGAATTTGTTTGTAAGTCAGAACAGTTATATTTTTTAAGTGTAACTCTAGCCAAATATGTATATATATACACATTAGCTCTGGATAGTACAGGGAAGGGTTCATAACCCTATGGTGTTTGTTTTGCTGTCTGTGCCCCTGTTCAGAGGAGACTTCGTGTCACTTTCTGTCCCTGTGAGAATTGGACTTTGAAAAATTTGGCTTGTTATGGAAACAAGGATTGATGATAAAGCTTCGGTGGAGACCCCTTTTCCTCATAATAACTCTTCCAGGAGTGAATTTCTCATCCAAGGGGAAGATCTCTCTCACTTCCTGTTGTCTCACCCCTGTTCTTAACTATGAGTTATTTGTAAGCCAGATGTTTGTAACTCGGGAACTGTCTGTCCATAATAATAAGAGCTGATGTAGGGGAAAAGAGTGGGAACCAGGAGATTCCTGATACAAATGTTGCTTCAACCATGAAATCACTTGGTGGTTAAAAGAAGCTTCATTTGTAATATTGGATAATAGGGCTTCAGCTTGGGGGTTGCGTACCTTTTTGATCAATTTTTGTATAAACAAACAAGACTTTTGCAATAATATAATATTTCCACACAAATGATTATGTGTTTTAGCAATGTTGTAACCCGCCTCGAGCCATAAAGAGGTAAGAAAGAAAATTATTATTACTGTATGTGTGAGATACTTTTTAAAGGATGCTTCTTTAATGGAAAGGAATTGTCTTCTCCCAGACAAGATGCAAGATGTTTGCATAACTTAAAAACAAATTAAGTTTAATTATGTGCTTCAGAACAGTTTTACTTGTGTGTTTGGATTTTATGTTTACAATTTTCAGTGAACTGTGTTCTATTTTATAAGGCCTAAATATGTGTATTTTGAAAGAGAATTGCTGTTGCTTATTTCCTAGTTACCTTGGGGCTAGTAGGAACTGAAAATATTGTGTTCAGCTCACTAGGACATATTATTTAATAGGCCTTTATAGGATGATACTGTGTGTTTATTATCACAACATTACTTTGAGCTAGCTAGACTCCCTACTCTAAGGGGGGAAAACTGGGTCCCTCCCCATTTTCCCTCCAGTTCCCATTAGTCATGAGCAGGAGAGCCAGTGGTGAGGTATTACGGGAATTCCAACTTACAATCCTAGTTTATTATTACTACATATTAACAGACAAAGGTCTCCAACATATTCAGCTTCACATATATATTCAGCATTCCTTTCCAGATATATCTTACTATTATGGACTGAGGGTGGGAGGCAGAGAAGAAGAGACTACCCATTGATTTTCTAAAGTCTGGGGAAGAATTAAATTTTCATAGTTATAAGTACTGAAAATGTTGGTGAATATTACAATCAGTAATGAAAATGGGGAAAATTAGGCAGAGACACAAAACGCATACAACACTTAGGTCCAACAGAATATCTGAAGCATATTCACTAAGAAACTGAGATCTGAAATGTAGGCCCTCATTTCACAGTCAGGAATTGTAATTTGCATCAATGTACTAACAGGGCTAAGAATGGTAACAGACAATAATACACCACAATTCATACCTATATGAATAAGTTAGGAACGTTCTCCTACTGACTGAGCTTATTAATTACATTCATATGGGTTGCTGTGAGTTTTCTGGGCTGTATGGCCATGTTCCAGAAGCATTCTTTCCTGACATTTCACCCACATCTATGACGGGCATCCTCAGAGGTTGTGAGGTCAGTTGGAAACTAGGCAAGTGGATTTTATATATCTGTGAAATGTACAGGGTGGGAGAAAGAACTCTTGTCTGCTGGAGGCAGGTGTGAATGTTGCAACTGGCCACCCTGATTAGCATTTAATGGCCTTGCAGCTTCAAAGATTGGCTGATTCCTGCCTGGGGAATCTTTTGTTGGGAGGTGTTAACTGACCCTGATTGCTTAATGTCAGGAATTCCTCTGTTTTCTGAGTGTTGTTCAATCAATCAATCAATGAATCAATCAGGGCCAGCTAACATAAGGGCCCCTCTTATATAGTCTTCATCTTCAGAGCAACACTGTAAAGTAGATCAGGTTGATGTATGGCTGGCCCCAAGTGCATCTGAACTTGGGTGTCTCTGTTCGGGCACATCAATCATTGCATCTCTTTTTTCTATATTTTGTTTTACTTTTTGCATTATGACCATTCTAGATACTCCTGGCTACATTGTACTGATAGGGGTGAAGGGCACTGGTGAGCTTAAAGCTATGTGACTAATAAGAAGAATGTGGTTACTATTCTTGAACTGCACCCAAGTTTTGCTAAACTGCCTAATACTGTTTTTACACTATGGGCTTCAAATGACACTGTGCTCATGCCTGTCACTTGAACTGCTTCATAGCATTTCAGTGAAACACACAGATGTTACTGCTTACCTAAGATTAATGGAACTGTAAACAAAACATGTAAATCCACTTTTATCTCAGATGCTAGCTGTTCCTCCACACTTGTGTTTTCAGTTCACATAACTATCTATATCTCCACAGATCCTTAATTGTACAGAACCATATATGGCTATATTAAACAAAGACAGTCTGATTCTGACTGAATTCTTTATGCTGCTATTATTTCTGTGATTCAGTTCCTCAACCTTATTATCTAATATTCAGGACAAGCTAATATTTCCTTAACAAGAAATGTAATCAGTGCTGAACAAAGTATTGTGGTTGGGGAGACAAGCAGCAAACTACTTTGTTCTGGAGTGACTTGTTTTCCCACGTCTTCTATTTAATGGAACAGAATATAAGTAGCTTATTGAAAATCTCTTTAGTTGCTTGTGCCAGTCTTTTTGATTTAGTGTCATATTTTACTGCTTTTATGGTTACTTATGGTGATGTCTTAATGTTGATTGCCCATGGAGCACTGTAGTTTATTTATTTTACCATAAATGAATGCCTAAGTGGCCTTTGAATTCCCTCGGAGCCTCTTTATCGCAGATCTGATTCACTGGCAAGTTTAAACATTTCTCGAAATTCAACATTTATTTACTCTATGTAAAGTTAGACTCAGCTGAATTGACCTTATCCTATTTAACCTAATTGCTTCATAGTAAATGCTCAGATGTTTCTCAAAAGTGCCCTAGGAGATGGTAAAATGCCTTAGAAGACTTATTAGAAGACTGGGAAGGAAAGTCTTTCAGAAAGTGGCACTGTTACTTTGATTAAAACAAGCTCATAACAACTATATTTTAGTAATTGTGTTCTAATTAACTTCTATAGCATGGTTATACATCGAATCCAACTTATTACTTAAGCAGATTCTGCTGTCTTCAAAATTATTTTGTAGATATAGTCTGAAGTTGTAGACCAAAGTTAAGAAAATGTGGTCTTCTAGTTGATGCTGCACTGAAACTCTCATCATCTCACACTACTGATTATGGTACATAGTTATGGGTAATGGGAACTGTCCTCCAATAATACTAGAAGGCCACAAATT